CACAACAGTAATGAAGTCTGTCTTAAATATGTAAAGCCTAGTACAAAAGCTGTTCTGGTGTTGTATACTTAGCCCCTGAAAGGTAGCACACAACAAGTAGTTTATAAATAGATTGTTATATAAGCGACCCCTGTAAGGTAGTATACAACTAATCTCTGATAGAATGTTTATCTTACTTCAAGGCACTCATGGCCTGCACTTTAAGTCTTACGGACTCTCACTGGTTTGAGAGAAGAGTGAAAAGTGAGAAGTTATTATTACTCAGTGTAGAATGGGCTCCTTTTATACCTTTTTGGGAGGCCATTTTACTAAGCATGACTCATCACAGCATTAGTAAGTCACTGGCTTACTAACCATGCCATTTGGCAGTGCTGGATCAGCTGCTTACAAAGTAGTTTACAAATAAAGTTCATAATATTACAAAGCATGATAAATCATGATAAAGCATGACCAATCATAACAAATCCTTACAAATCAGATTATTGCCTATCACATGACATGCTTACAAACACATCTGGTGGCTCACTAAAGGATTCTGTGGCTGAATGAGCCTGAAACAAATAGAAACAAATGGAAGCCACATGACAAATCATGCAGGATCCTTACAAATCAGAATATTGCCTATCACATGACATGCTTACTAACACATCTTGGTAGCTCACTGGTGGCTGAATAAACCACACAAAAGAAATGAAAAGACAAGGGGAAAGGTGAAAACTATCATACTGGAAATATAAATACAAGTAAATCTGTCAAAATGGAACCAATCATAATAATACAATGAGGTACACCTTAGTGTACTCTCTGTGGCTACTTCCTGTCTATCAATGTCATGGTATGAGTTCCATACCATGCATGACAACGCGACTCCATAGTGGCTAGTGTACTCACAACAGGCTTGATTACATCCTCCTTTGTTTGAAAGGGTAAAGGCAAAGTAATGTACTTGCATAGGCAACACACAAAATCCAAGACAAAGTGAGCCCATGAAATATGCATCATAAGTGTGACTCACAATATTTATAGGGCTGAGATTGTTCAATGGGTATCAGAAAGTCTTCACCCATTCAAAGTTGTTAATGATCAAGCTTTTAAGTCCTTAATGAAGACAGGATGGCCAGAGTACTATATACCTTCATCATTCACCGTAGTTGCATGATGTTAAGCTCATTTTTGCAAACATCAGGAAACAGATTGCACAGATGTTGCAGAAGTATGACGGTGTGATGACAAGATATGGCTGGGCTGTAGGTAAAAGCACCAAATCAAAATATATGAGTCTCCTGCTCTCCTAGCTGCTACTCTTGCTAGCAAGAACGTTCGACCCTAAAGGATCTCTGACTAGGCTCAGGCTCAAAGAAAGAGAGCGGAGAAGGTACTCCAAGTCAAGGTAAGAAAACTATGTTCCAGGAGCTATCTGGTGAGCTAGGGAAAGCTACAACTAGGAAAGCTACAACTAGGGGATACTACTAAATAACCCAAGTGAATGGGGAGCAACCAAAGAACTGGAAACAAGGGAAACTAGGTAATGACTGTAGAGTCCTAGGTAAAGGGAAGATGATTATGTAAGCAACAAAAGTGCGAACCTAATCTAAGGAAAGTGTCAATAAGAAATGCATAGTGAAACGTGCCTCTGCAAGGCTACAGAAAGTTTGAACACCACAATGGTGGCCTTAATTTCACCACTGATGCATGAACATCGCCAAACCATAAGGCATTTGTAGCTGCCTTGGTGCACTTGGAGCATGAAGGCCAGCCCATCGCAATGCTTCTTGACATTGTCAAGGTCGCGAAGGTACACATTTCAAGGTCACAAAGAGCAAGAACTAATCATACTGCCAGTCACATTCAGGTGTGAACCTCGCCGAAGCATTCACAAAGGTACTTAACGACTTTGGAATTTCAGATAAGGCAAGTTTTCATCAACAACATCTAGCACGACTTACCAATTTTCATCAGATGCTGAGCATAACAGCAGACAATGCATTGAGCAATGCCACAATGATGATGGAACTTGCCAAGCTCATTGATCATTTTGGTGGAGAAGTGGCATGCACATGTTGCTTCTTGCATATCATCAATCTTGTGGCCAAAAGCTTAATTAAAGAGTTCAACATACAGATACAAAATAGTGTTGAGTCACTTGACAACACAGAACATGACCTCCAGGATCTTACAGGTGACACTGACATCAAGGACAAAGATATTATAGCAGAGAATGGTGATGGGGATCCAAACACTGACGATGCCGATGATACAGAGGGATGGATTGATGAAATAAATGAGTTGGATGATTTTGATTGCGATGCACTGCAGGAAAACATCTGGCCTATCAAGTTGGTTCTTGTCAAGGTAAGCCAGAAGGACTCTACGCACCTGTTAGTTTACTGACTGCAAAAAACTCTGTAAACTGGCCTACGGAATTGTTCACTCAACTACACTCCTGCTGCCAGAATGGAAAGAAGTACTTACTGAACTCAATCTTACTGTCAGGATTATGCCACGGGATGTCTTGACTCGCTGGAATTCGATGTTTGATATGTTGGATTTTGTGGTTGAATATTGAAAGGCTATTGATATGATTACAGATAGATGAAGACTGGGACTGGGGGCATTTGTGTTGAGTGATAAAGAATGGGTGCTTGCAAAACAGCTGTGTGAGGTCTTGAAGGTAAGTCACACATGTGACATATCACTTCCGATGCCTTGCTCACATGTTGTTTCATCTATAGATTTTGAAGCATGCTACACAATTCTTTTCATGCAGAATGCCTAATCTTGCTGTAGTCATTCCAGCAATGGACCACATTGACAATGTCTTCACTACTGGCATCATCAAGACTGACAACCTTGATCCTGCTATCTGTGCAGCCCTCCACATTGCAAAGAAGACTTTGAATAGGTACTACCCCCTCACAGATAGGTCAGAGACCTACCGCATTGCAATGGGTACATGCTATAGTGATTAGGTTTTTTGCACTAACACTTGTGTTTGTATTAGTTCTTCACCCATGTTACAAGCTAGAGTATTTTAAGGCCATAGACTAGGAGGATGAATGGATCATGGCTGCACACAACATTGTTCAAAAAGTGTATAAGCATTCCTATGCTTCACACAGTGTCCCTGCTGGTGACACAGTTGAGGCAGTTATAAGCACAACAGTTCAGGTGCACACTGATCTTTTTTTTTAATCTCATTCTTTATATTTAAACAACTATTTTAGGACAATGATGCCAACATTTTTGACAACTTATCAACTCTCACCAAGCCGGCACACACATCAGTGATCAGTGAACTTGATGCCTACCTCAATGCAAGCATCGAGACAGTGTATGATGTTCTGGGATGGTGGAAATGGCAACAGTCCACATACCTGCATCTCTCTCAAATGGTACTTGACTATTTGTCAATTCCCAGTATGTCTTTCACTGCATGTCTGATCTTACTCTACTGACATTTTTTCAGCAACATCAGTTGATGTTGAATGAACATTCTTGTGGCCATTTGCTGCTTTCACATGTCCATTCTTGACTTTCCACACAAACAACTTGCACACTTCTTTGCCTCAGCTCATGGAGTTTACTTGGGTTAGTAAAAGACAAGGATGTAATGTCCGTTATCCGGCTGCCTGACCTTGAAGGTGAGGAGGAGGAGCTCAGTGAAGGATGGGATGATATAGTATTAGTATGATTCATGTATCTATGTTGTGTTTGAACTGTTTTGAAGCTCTTACCCATTGTGACAATCATACCAGCGCTAGGTGCGTATGAGTGTCATAGGCATATTTTGCCTTGTCTAGAGGAAAAGAGTAAGGCGCTAGTCACCAGCGCTATTCAGCTCCCAAGCTATCCGCTTTGGAACCACCTTTCTCCCATAGTGTGCTATCCGGTCCGACACCTAGGTATTCCATCCTTCCATGTCCTGCCTATGTCCACCTACCTCCGCTGGTGCATTATTATTCCTTAAATGTCGCTACTGATCAGTTGCAGGTCTTATTACATGTATCCTCGTGTCCCGCTGCGCTGCATGTTTTATTACCTGTCGCTACATTGTGCCCTTGCCAGTGTCGCTACTATTCTCAGCCTACACATTCCCGAACTTTTACACAGTATGATAAAATGACCCATCGCACATACAGTACAGTACTTCCCTTCCCTGGACCTTTGCTGGTGTTGGAGTCCTTTTAGTCGCTATATCCTAGTCTTGGTGCAATCAATTCCACTCTTGCCAAATCTCTTTGATCGCGTGTTGCTTGACTTACTTTAAGTGCGCGTCACTAAAGTTCCCTCTAAGTTTGACTTTCGCAACATCGGGATCACTATCAGTAGTCAAGCTATAATCTAGTCGCTATCAGGCATTTCACTTGCACTGTCTTACCTTACTCCTCGCTTTCGCTCCCTTTGATTTTCTTCTCGCTGTCGCTAGTCGGATGTTGCATAGTACTATCACATAAAACAACTTGCATAGTGCTTCTCACTTATATGCATGTTTCTCTGCCAGAGCTCACTTGTCACTTGTCGCTGATTGCTATAGTGCTACTCATCAGTTTATTGGTCTTAGGTCGCTATAGGTTATTAGTCCTTCGCACTATCGCTCCCCTTGCATATTAGTAGGGAGTTGCTTCAATAGCAGTCCTCTTGGGTCGAATACTACACTCGCACCTATTTGGATAAATAGCGCTAGTTTCTAACTGGCCTAGTCACTATTTCTCTTTCACACCGTCTCTTACCTGTGATGGGTGACATACCTGTGGCTACCTGCGGTACCTACTGTGACACCCATACCCGTTGGTACCCTTGGGTATACAGGTATGGGTAATTGGTGGGTATGGGTGTGGGTTACATCCTGGGCACCTGCAGGTTTACCAGTTGTGAAAAACTCAACTTGGCTATACACTTGTTAAAGCACCTAGCCAATATATGTCTAATGCTCTGCCTATGCTGCTATACTTGCAAACAAAGAAGCAAGAACATTCGACCTGAGGGAATAGCTACTAAGAACAACTTAAGATAGAAAGACCCGAAAGAGCACTAATGCATGGGAAAGCACTGTGACAATCATATCAGCGCTAGGCGCGTATGAGTGTCATAGGCATATTTTGCCTTGCCTAGAGGAAAAGAGTAAAGCACTAGTCACCAGCAGCTATGAACTCCCAAGCTATCTGCTTTGGAACCACTTTTCTCCCATAGTGCGCTACCTGGTCCAATACCTAGGTATCCTGTCCTCCCATGTCCTGCCTATGTCCACCTACCTCCGCTGGCGCATTATTAGTCTTATTTGTCGCTACTGATCAGTCGCAGGTCTTATTACATGTATCCTTGTGTTCCACAGTGCTGCATGTCTTATTACCTGTACACGCATTGTGCTCTCGCCTGTGTCACTACTATTCTTGCCTACGCATTCCCAAACTTTTACACAGTATGATAAAATGACCCGTTGCACATACAGTACTTCACTTCCCTTCCCCGGACCTTTGCTGGTGTGTCAGAGTCACCTTAGTTGCTATATCTTAGCCTTGGTGCAATTGATTCCACTCTTTCCAATCTCTTTGATTGCGTGTCACTTGACTTGCTTTAAGGTCTTAAGTTTGACTTTCGCAATGTTGGAATCACTATCGGTAGTTGCACTACAATCTAGTCACTATCAGGCATTTCACTTACACTGTCTTACCTTACTTTCCACTCTCACTCCCTTTGATTTCTTCTCGCTGTTGCTAGTCAGACGTCGCATAGCACTATCACATAAAAACAACTTGCATAGCACCTTTCACTTATACGCACATTTCTCTGTCGGAACTCACTTGTAGCTGATTGCTACAGCACTACTCATTAGTGTTTGGTCTTAGGTCGCTATAGGTTTTTAGCCCTTCGCGCTATCGCTTCCCTTGCTTATTAGTAGGGAGTTGCTTCAATAGCAGTCCTCTTGGGTCAAATACTACACTCGCACCTATTTGGATAAGTAGCACTAGTTTTCTAACAGCCTAGTCGCTATTTCTCTTTCACAGCGCATTGCAAGATACTGTGCTAGTGCACAGGAAAAGCAGAAGTCAAGAAAAGCAGACACTGAGTCGGTAGATGGTCGGTATCGGATTGCTAATAGGTCGGTAGTGGAGTGGTAATGCATCACTATAGGATAGGGAGTGTAAAGAGTGTAGTGGATAGTGAGTGAAATCAAAGATATTGATTGCAAGAGTAAAGGAAAGTCAGGGTAAGGGCAAGGGCAAGGAATAGTCAAGGTATAGGGAAACCAATAGGGGCTATAGAGCACAACTAAAGGTGACTACTTCTAAGTAAAACCTAGGAGAAGGAAATACAGTCATATGGAAGTAATGTTGAAGTGGTCACCATAGGCTTCTTATACTAGTAAAGTATACCATCTTGGACTCAGAAGGGATAGGATGTACATGTAATAAGACTGTAACACTTGTCACAAACTTGAGGCAAGGAAAATTACATACTAATGAGGTAGGATGGACAATGGATGGATTCCAATATTCCGAAGGGTTCCTAGAGCGTGAGAACAGCACGCTAGATAAGCGCTAAGCGCATGAACAAGTGCTAGGTAGAGCGGACATGCGCTAATGGACCTAAAACACATTGCTGGTAGTTCCAATAGCACTATAAGCATAGGAATAGTGCAGGATATGTCATGGGAACATGAATAGCGCTGCAGGGATGTGCGCGCATAGCACAGGAAAGTGCAGACAAGGGTTATGGCTGAGACAAGTGAAGACTGCTGATAAGGGAGTAGTGAATAATATGAGGGATAACTTTGGTCCACCTAATCAAGGCTTATGTAGGTATACATGCCTAGCACCAATATGATTGTCACATCAGTCTTTTTGACATCTCTGGGGCAAGTGCAGTTGCTCTGTTGAGTACAGCTTTGAGTTCAGATGGTGGGATCAGTCAGCTTCTGCCATGCAGTAAGTGCCAGGCTCTCAGTCCTGCTGCATAGTTGGATAGTGCTGATCTGGAGTATGAACTCGCGCAGCTTGAGAGAAAGTCTAGGAGGAGAGTTTGGCTTATTGGGCACTGTTTCTCTTCTGTGATACTCCATGAGTTGCAATAAACATGAAATGAAAGGAGTCCTGCTCCATATGACTCTTTGGTTGATGTGGCCCAGGATGAACCCATAACTTCGAGAATGCAGTTGAGTTGTGCATCTGAAATCGAGTGAGATGGAGATTCTGATGGAGGTCCTGTTTGTCTGGTGCTGTCTCCCACTGGAGACCCACAGTCTTAATCTGTCTCAGGCAAGGCAGTGCAGGCGAAGGGTGGATGGGCGTGGGGTGAGGTCTGGACGATAGGCATGGGGGGGAGCATGTGGTGTTGTTGGGTATAGGCAGTGCTGCTCCAAATTGAGAGACCTTGGAGTCATTCATCTTTGAGCGCACAGCTGACGAAGTAGTCTTCTTCGGCCCTTGCAGCAATAGCTCTCTCTGCAGCTTGTTGCTTGATGAGAGCTTGGTTGATGAGCTTAGCTGCTGGAGAAGAGTAATTCCCATCACGCAAATGGCGGATCTCTGTGGGGGAGAGAGGCTCTGTTGTATTGATGATGAAGGTACTAAGTTCATCTGGAATGGGGATTTGGGGAAGAAGAAGGCTGAGTGGTCTGTAGATACCTCTGGATGGCTCATCTGCTGGGTTGGACCCACTTGCAACATAAGTTGTGGAGATGTTGAGATAGTTGGGTAGATTATGCAAGAAATTGCTGATTCTTCTAAAGATGCCATTGATGGCTGCATTATGGTGGCATTGTTTCCACCAGCCTTTGACGACTCTGGTACTGTCCCCATGTATAAGGATGTTGCTTCCAATGTTAGCGAGAGTGGTGAGGGTATATATGAGGAGCTCAAATCCCACTGCTTCTGCCCATCCAATATCTTGTTTACCATTGTGCATTTTCCAGCCCAGTGTGAGTCTCCATGCTCTCCAGTGTTCCCCAATAACAATGCCAATTCCAATGCCTGAGCTCATGTCCGAGAAAGCAGATGGGTCTCTGAGTGCAGCTGGAGGGTAAATGCTCCTGAATGCCCCACCTGATTGTAATAAGTCTGACCACCACATCAATTCTTTGGCTATGCCTTTCTCAGGTCTGTGTAAAAGAAATGGGTTATTCCCACACAGCACTAGCATGCTCTCGAGTCCTGTCAGATATGCACATCCTGTAGGATGTGTGTTTGCTGTTTCCTCCACTTATGAATAGCTAGGAGGTATTTTTCTACCTTTTCTGGGCTTAAGGATACTATTCTAAGTTTGATGTCCCAAAGGAAACCAATGTGGATCATCGACAACTGAAAGAGTTGGTTAGCGTAATGGGGTGAACTGGAGTCGGTAAAAGCACCGTAAGACCATAACTCAACTATATTTCAGAGGCTGATTTCGACGGATAGTTCATCAATGATGCAGCCGGGAAGGAAGTGGTCATGGTCAGCCATGGATTGAACTTGTGTACAGCCAAAATTCAACATGTCTTCTGTAAATGTCCCGGCGAATCCCTCCCGCCTGCGTAGTCCTTGTCGACACACCTGGTTCTGATGATACATACATATCCGATGAAGAAGTTTTGAGGCGCATCGCTGTTTGGCTGGCAAGTTCATAAGTACATATCTATCGCTGAAGTATATACAGTTCATAATCTTATCCTAGGTATGGCCAGGACATGAAGTTGGCTGGCATCCTCTACCTTCACGACATTACCCAAAGTCGGATGTTTGGCACAATGCTCAGGGATCTTGATGTCTTTCGAAAGCTGTGCGGTGAAGATGCAGAGAAGAACGTCATTATGGTGACCACAAAATGGGCTAAGATCACCGCGAAATGTGGGACAAGAGCGTGAGAAAGACTTGACCAGTGTCTTCTGGAAGGAAATGATGACACATGGGTCTACGACCGCTCGGTTCGATCAGTCACGTCCGTGGGATGTCATGAGGCCCATTCTCGCGAACAAGACAGTTGTTGAAGCTATCCGGATTCAAAAGGAACTGGTTGACTTTGGAAAAAAGATCCCTGAAACCGACGCAGGAATCGTCTTGTATTCCAGATTGAAGAAGGTGGTAGATTCACGTGGAGAAGCCATCGAGGGATTGAAGAAGAACGCTCAAGATGACACGCAACTGCAAAAATTGGGGGAGACCGAGAAAGAAGCTCGTGAACTCTTGTCACTCCGGAAGCGGATCGTCGGTAGACAGTAATTTGGCCATAAGCACGGTCTCTGCAGACACAGTCGGAGAGCATGTTGCTTAGTTGCAATGGTTTCTTTATGGCTATCAGGAATACCTGCAGTGTATTAGTGCCCTTTGTATATTTTCTCACATGTCACAGTCTATGTCAAATTGTCAATCTTCGCTGAAGAGCATGAATCAGTACTACGGCAAAACTACGAGCAAAGTTATTTTCAGTCTGAGATTGAACAACAGATGAAAGAGATCGCATAGCAGACTAGCAAGTATAAAAGTGTCCAATATCAGTCTTCGATCAAAGGAATGAATAAGGTCAGTTGCAAGGGAAGGGGAATCAAAGAATGTCGTCGAGACGGATAATGGAAAGAAAGCGTGGAGGTGTGACTGTATCAAAGTTCAGTTGACACGTCTGTGTGCCTCCGGAAAGCAATCGAAATCACATCCGCTTCTGCATCAGAGTTGTCCACGAGCTTGGCGTGATATTGTCGAACACTAAGAATGAGGCGTGGTCCTAACACAAACATCTGCATGACCGAAAGAATTTGACGAACACCGTCATAAACCTGAGTTCCCACAGAAAGTGAGTTCTATAAAAGTAAATAAGTCGTAGTCGCATGCAGATGTTAATGATATATTGGCGTACCGCCGAGAGCTGCGGAGACAAAAAACCGAGATCGAAGCAAGAGACGACAGCAAAGCTAGCACATACGGAACTTTAGCGGAAGTTAAACCATATTAAATTAAGAGTTCACCTTGCAAAGTAGACAACGTGAGTCTGTATTAACGCTGTAAAACAGTTGCCAATCGTCCAACCCCTCAATGGTCGTTGCAGTTCACGGAAGTGTTTTATAGTAATCCAGGTTGCAAGACACAGTGCGAGGACTTCCCATGCAGTGGAGAGTATCCATGTCATAGAAAGCAAAATTAGAGCGTCTGCCTCATTGTCATTATAAATGCACAAATAAGTGCCGGAGAGGATAAGCTCTTCTGATATTCATCTGATCAGCATAATACGCTCGAGCCCTTCGACCATAATCTAAAGCTTACTCGCTTTAGTATGCCTGTTTACCATTGCAGTCATCACTCCACACGCAATCGTGATAACTGTGAAAATTACAACGAGAAAGACAAGCATGTTTCTGGATCGCTGATACATGGCATATAACCGAGTTATCATGATCGCTTGCATAATGTATCAGCCAAGTCAATATTGCCGAGGTATTGTAGTTGAGTAGCTCACCACCTAACATGGCATTTACGACCACACCCATCCAATTTAGTACGATGTACATAACATTGCCTGGAAATCCAAGTTGGCGATGAGTGAGGATTAGATACTCCGAACAATCTCACATCTATTGCGGTCATTTTATATTAAATCAACAAGCTGGCCGAGAACCACACTCACTCCTGCATAGTAGTCAATTTGGGCGACAATGACAGGCATCAATGTAGAGTACTCACTAGTTTTATCATCGAGACTGTCGGAAGTGCTTCTGTATGCCGTCAATCAGCAGAAACACGCGCGGTGAAGGTGAAGGGACATACGCAGCATGTTGATGCTGATTGTGGGAAATAATTAAATAGTAGCACAGTGCACATTACCAACCTTGAAGACATACATAATGTATAGTATTCCGATGTAGCGCACCTGGAATATTTTAAATTCAGCACAACTTATCATCTTCGCTTATAACATGAGCTACACACGCCTATATATAGAACTGTCATGAGAGACCAGCGACGATTCTGCCCGGAATTGAGTATATCATCCTGTTGAGGTCTTCTAATATGGTACGGTGCTCACCCAGACCAGTTCGAGCTACACATGATGCCATTCTTAGTGAGATGGTTACTCCGGTAATGGCATCAGCGTACCTCTTGCCCAAATGTCAATGCTGGAAACATCATAAGAATATCAATCATTCTTAAATCCAATTTCGCTCACCCCAATCGTATATCACTGCAGCAGAGGAGGCAACTGCGTCAACATTAGATTGAGTCATCGTTGACACTATCTGCCTGACTCCCTACAAACCTATAAAATAGCTGAGATTGATATTAAAATTGATTATCGGCCACCAATAGGGAGAATTGAAGACTTTGGTCATGTTCGAGGGATGGTGTGAGTGAGTGAGAAACTTAGTGGACGCATAATAATGGGGTTCGAGCTAGATATACCACCATCCAGCGCTTTTATTGCCGAAAAAGGCACCCTGGTGATGAAGGTTCACCCCCGCCTTGATCGACATAAGTTGGTATGCGGTGTGAAGCCAGGCCCTCGGAGTCAATCAAACAAAAATCAGATTTTGGGTGATGCTGGTTGCGGATTCACAAAGTAGTATCGTGCACGTGGAATTTTGAACACTGCTGTTCGTGATTTCGGGAAACAGTGCACTCTCGAGATATTATTGTATCAGTTCAAAAAATCCATCAGCGAAATCATGTAGCCACCGATCTAACACAGACCTAGGGGCAATGCGATCACGTTTCGATAATTCTCTGAGACCTGATTGATGATCAGCTCCCTCTCTTGTTGGCTGGAACGGGGTAGTGAAACAGCTCGTTCAGAGTCTGTTGACAAGGTCACGTTCTGTCGGCAAGTGGATATCAGAAATATCAGAAAATAAAAATAGGTACAACTGCAGCCTCACTGCTACTAACCACCTCCAAGCCGACCCCTCATGGACACCTCCCTCGAATCCGCCCTTGTCCTCAATACCTGTCGCTTCGTGCGCACTTCCTCGCCCCAGCCTCGATTATGGGGCTAAAATACCATCAATGCAAAATATGTGGTAGGGACCGTGCAACTCTGATGCGAAAACCGATGCGAAACTTTGATTCCACCATGCAGTTGATTCACTACCGGAACGGCATTGATTTGCACAGCTAGATAGATAGATAGATGATCCGTATGTGTCTCGTGTTTCGTGAATATATAACATAGCCCTGTTGGCTCAAAACAGAGATGAGACCGACATAGGGAGAAGAGATGGCTCGAACATGCCTGTATCTGAGCAGGAGGCCTAAATCGACCTGCCCTGGTCCATATATGACAAAAGGAGAAAGGTAGAGCACTTACTACCAGATCCCCATCGTACTCGGTATCAGGGACGGTGTCACAGTACAGAAAAGCTGCAAAGTAGTTTGATGGTTCCATCTTCCTACACGGAGGGTGTCAACAGCACATACTGTCTGCAACATTCTTCATTTATAACGGAATAAGAGATACATGCGATTATGTGGTCGACGAAGAAATTTTTAGAGCTCTGTGATCGCTTGGGGCGCTAACACTGTTGAACATGACACATGTGCCACGGTCTCCAAGGAACAAACTGCAACAGCGCCAACCACCAGCATCGCATGAGCGATTTAATTCCTTGGACGCTACCAGTGGCCGTACGTTTGATAGTAGGGATGGTAGTATTACAGTACTATTACTAGTACATACTACACTGGCAGGTGGGGGGGCAAACAAATAAGTTTCACACGAGTGAATCTCTTGTGAAATTGCAATGACACTCACTCACCACCGAGTACTTATTTGACACCACCTACCTTCTCCGAGTCGCTTGAGGCATGCCGAAAGTATCGTTTCGTGGAACACTATTTTTATGCTGTAGCAGCGACGGCATATTCCATGTCGATAGCGCATTCTGAATCGTTACCTCCGAGAACCATTAGCGGTCGCGCCACTTCACGGAAAATGTTCCCCTGGAGAAAGGGTTCTTCAAGTATGGCGAGGCGCACAAGAGATCGCCATTGAGGCTATCGTTGCCGGTATTGCGGATAACATCGACGTCAACAACTTCGTACGAACTAATTCATGGGTCATGCATTGATGGGCCGAAAGACAGTACTCAAGACACTCAAGTAGTCTGAGGAACACGATAACACCGCCGCAGTATCTTCAAGTCCATGGTAAGGAAAGTTGAAGAAGACAGTCGCGGAAGCAGCTGCGAAAGCCACCGCCATTGTACGACACGACGATGCAGGGGTTCGCCGCCGCCGAGTTAGACACTATTGTACGATCTCATTCGCAGAGCGGAGGCGGTCCTTGTTTGGAGGCCCGTCGACTCTGTTCCACAACCGCCCCCGCCTAGCCAGTGTCTTCTTCTCCAGATGCTATCCTGCCACGCGATGACACCGGCCCTGCAATTGTGTTCGACAACAATACTGTCAATGTCATTGTTTGTGCTCCACTTCGAGCCCTCGCCCGACCATGAGCACCCTGCACTTCCAAAGCCTGCCCCGATGGCCGTTACGGAACCCACTCCGTATCCCCTGTCTTGTGTTGTGGTATCGGTCATGTCTGAATTTGCCGTACCCGAGCCCGTGCTCGACCAGCTCAAACCACGCGTTGACACCATGGGTTATTTCACTCCAAAAATGCCGCCTCAGAAACAGTGAGGGACATTCTTGAGACTGTCAGAGGTGGCCTCGCTGGCGAGTGGCCCGTATCAAGAAGATCAAGGAGGACGAGAAGCTGCAGCTAAGAGATGGAGTTCGACGGATATGTACGGAAGCATTACTATGTTCTGGAGCTCGAGCTCGAGGCGCAGGGTAACATAAACACCCGATGAGGGCATGAGTGCGCTATGTACTTTAACGTAAGCTTGCAATTGAATCTATTGCTATGTCTTACAACGAGGACTCACTCAGCATTCCCTAGTAGACTATATTGAATGAAGGCAGTCGTTTCATCTTGATTGAATGCATGCAATTGATTCATAAGCGAACGAACGTTGCCAGTTGACGCGTACTGTTAGCACGCGTCTTGCATCTTCTCCTCGCCACTGTCGGTTGTTTCGGAACAGCTAGAGCAAGTATCCGGCATGACCAATGCGCCGATTTCTGGCCCACTGACAGGGGTCGCAGGGAATACAACTGCTGTGACTGACTTCAACAGGGGCATCCTCATAATCGACAGTTGTCAAGGGCGGACGGCAGGCTGGCTGGTTGACGCAGTCGGTAGGAATCAAAAGTCCATAGCCAGTTCGAATATCATCTCACAATCATGTTCAGCACAATAATGAACGTGTTGCAGACTCACTTCTGAATAATTTTTGGAAGGTGGGGGACCGCTCAAATTCGATGATAATCCCCTTGTTATCCGACACACCTTGCGCCATGATAAGGAGACAAATGGGTATGAAAACAACGACACTTACTGGAGCCAAAAGGTGCGTAGTCTTACCTGATATATCTGTACAGTTCGTATTTCAAAGTGATTCCATGATTGGGACGAAGGCACAGCACCCAAGTCACAATCTGTGACTATCTGCATGCGTATCACCCGTTCTCTCGGTTTATTTCGCCCGGAAAAAGGTAGGGTGCTGGAAAGATCCAGTGGGACCAGTATCCACGGGCACCTTTCCATTATAAATCTTTCTGCCCTTCTTTGAACTCGTCATCGATAGTCAGTGAGTGACTCTCTTTCTTGCTCCCCTCCTCTGCTGATCTGGGCTTCGCAAGTGGTCTCCACTGGAATGAAGCCCGCTCCCACTGGCAGTGCGTCCAGGATGCAACGTCACGCCGACGAATCAGTCACCGATGACGGCCATCGCACCATACCGCGACCGATGCCAGCGGATTTTCGTAAGCTAGTCTCTGGCTCCCAAGAAAATATCATCCGCGCAATGGATATAAGTGCACCAGCATTCGAAGAATTTAAAGTAATTTTTTTAATTTCGCATCATCGTGCATCGCTGATCTTTGATAACAGAAAATCCTTCGCGATCAGGCAGTGATGATGCTGGATTGCGAAAGGTTTCTACACGAACAGATACCCGATATTTGGGCTATCTATCTGGACTGGGTAAGTCGTTTATTTGACCAGCGAGTTGTATGTATCATCTAACACATACATCCAGGCTCGCGAGGAATTGGCATCCTTTCTTTCCAGGTACACTGATGCATGGCCGGTCGAGCTCTACATGGAGCATTATCTATCGAAGAAAACGTATGCCAAGCGTCACGCCTTCAGAGCCAAGATGACGAAGTTAAGGCCCGCCCTCAAAACCGCTCGCGTTAAGAGTTCTGTCTCAGAGGTAAAGTACCTGTGCTTGTGCTGTTTAATGAATAGCGCCGCTCACCCTTTTGCGCGATAGCATGGTGCAAGCTTGCCGCCCGCTCCTGGTGGTCCACCCCCACCTTATGAAGATCACGATTTCGTCCAACCCGATGCGGCGGGTGGCGACGATCTCACTGTCGAGAACTTTCTAAAGACGGTCAATCCTGACCTCAGCCACCTCTTCCCTGCATTTGAAGAACTGGGGATCAGCAGCGAAGCGGATCTCGTTGTCGTGAGGTCATGGGCCCCTGCTGTGAGAAAGGACTTTTTCGAGAGGGAACTGATGGGGAGGAATGAGCGCTCTCCAGATCCAGGCCCTGAATGTCAAGCTTGGGGAGATGAATTAACAGCCATCTCAAAGTTATGATCTTTTTATCTCGAGTTTTTTTACTTGTACGATATTCTTTCATTCAAATTGAGTTCTATTTGTATTTTGTGGGTTGCTCTATTTTCCCAATCGGAAGCATTTCTTCCCTTCCGATGTTAGGAATCGAAAGATTGTTTTAGTCTCTGAAAAGTGCGTTGGTCATGGCGAGAAATCGTGGTGTTACTGCACTCACACATATTGTTATCCGCCGAATACCGAGCTCAACTTTTACGCTGCGTGTCTTGTGTTTATTTAAAAATGTTGCTGCGATCAATAATTGTCGACATGTGTATGGTATCGGCGGAACTGTCATTGGGATCGTCGACATTGTATTCGTAACTTGTTGGACATGGAAACACATGGCAAAATTGTCCATTTTAGACCCAGACCTTCTCCACACTGTCCTTTTCAGATATCTCTGGTCTGGGCACCTTGGGTTTGGGGCTAATCGACAAATCAGAATCATGGCGTCACAGAAATTCTTGCAAACTTACTGTCGACTCACACCACAGCAACAACATCGCTGTGCTGACACCATGATAACCGCTATCCAAGCCAAAAGCACCGCCACTAGTGCCATCCACAAGCCATTGCCAAAGCTTACAGCGAAGTCGGCTCCAGGGAAAAGGGAGTCAATGTTGTCTTTAATGCCAACAACCAGCGCAATGTTCGCAGCAAAAACAACAGTCGAAAAAACCGCTGTGATTATGGCAAATACGATTACGATTGTTGTGATCAGGTGTGAGCGAAGCAAGAGAGACAACACAAAGGCGACGGTCGAGAGTGCTGCGCTGACAAGATGCAGCACAAGCATAGTCAGGAGGGTCGTATCTGCAACATTTGCGAGCTTAGAGGAGAACCCAACGAGAGACAAGATGCTTGTAGGAACTGTATATCCCAACTGTAGGCCATAGCATGCTTCTTGTGCTTCGACGCCATTGAGGATACTGAAACGTGACGGATGAGGAAATAACGGCGAAATTTGGTCAAAGCAGACGCTCTACCTCAATGCACAGACACCCCATACTCCAAATTGCAGTTCTGTGATTGCATTCGAGACGGGATCAACAGAATTTACTGCCGATACTTTGATAATTACGATTGATTTGATAATTGGCAAAGATAGACCGACCAAGAGAAAGAGGAATGCAGTGAGAAACAATGTGAAGCAGGCCAGACGGACAGTGTGCTCTTGTAGTAACCGTAGAAGCTTTTGAGACTTGGCTAGATGGTAACGCAACCACTGTAGGACGCCATCCATGCCTGGTGTTACCGGCGACAGGGTTGGGAAGGATGGATGCTTCGCATTGTTATACAGTGCTTTAGAGCTGCAGGCGAGACAGCCTGGAAATATAGATAACTTTGCTATATCACACTCGCAAGGTCTCGCGTGCTGTGGGAGTTCGTGAGAGCAGCGCCCTGAAAATGCAGGAGAACCATCGTCGGTGACGAATAGAAGATTACACCTGATAAAGTGAGTTGTTGAGTCGACATACATAAGCTGTAGAGTACGGCAGCTGAAGCTTAAGCTTGAAGTACAGCAGCAGTGAAGTTGCTGGAGCGTGTGGTGACCGCCGATCATTCACACATACGTGTGAGCGCCATCATGATGGCACCGCTCATGATCAACTGGCTTACGGATCAACTTTTTTCTGTTACTCGGAAGACCCTTGTGAAATGGCAACTCAAGTGTCTGGAGTCAAGGCACCGCACCATCAGAAACATCAGGCAGCGTCAGGCTCGACTTCAGACTCATAGCGACATACAAGAAGAGTGCTTTATCGTTCACCGAACTTCATTAAGCTTCATTCCAACCACCAACAAAACTAAAACGCACATATTTGACAAACGTGCTCTGCATTAATATGACTAAAGACTGCACTTGCATCAGTAACTGCGGGTGAGAGTGCTTACTCGCAGATTCTCTATCATAGTTTCAAAGCGCATGTGGCCCCAAGAATAATTGCGACTGCGTCAACAAGCAACACTCTTCGCAAGTACATAGTTAATCGCATTTCTGATTTGCCATGGTCATCATCACATTAGTGCGACTACAAAGGCATAGGTGACAGCTGCAACTGCGCAACGAAGTAGTCGTCTTGAGGATCTACATGATCATAGATTCGCGTGAAAATTTGACGGTCCTTTGGGTGAGGTTTGCAGTCCACAGAGGTGGCGTAAAAATGTAGTCGTTGAGTATCTACTACAGGAAGTGTCCGTTGTAGTCAGAATGAGCAAGAGCGAAGCGAGCATGCGGAGCTGAGACCGTCAATTTCCAGGCGAGGCATCAAAATCTCGTGGAGAAAGGCACGAATCCCACGCATGGCCCACGCGCCTCCGCTTTCTTAAGTAAGCCGCAGGTACTGGACCTCAGCTTACATTCATACTTGTATTCAATGTCACACAATAATTACCATTTGCTTGCGAGAGAAAAAAAAAATATGGGATGCGTGGCCGAGGAAAATTTACGGTCGATTTTGTAAATTTCTCGACATACGCAGTTGACCGTATGTCTGAACGGCACCCAAGTTACTGGGTGACTTTCCGCAGATTTTGATTCAAACCTTAAAAGTCAGAGTATCGTCTCGCACCTCGTCGCAATCTAGAAATGCTTGCCAAACCGCAGATCAATTGTGTCTAGATTCTAATGTACAGTGTCAAAAGGCATGTAAGCGACGTTTACATATTGTCACGGAGTTTGAAAGGCTCGTTTAGGTGTTATAAACTACCAACTAGAATGTTGTTTCTTAATTCTTCCAGAATCTCCGTGATCACAACTCGTTCAAACAGGGTAGAGGTCTCCGTAAGTGCTTGTGTGATGAATTTCTCCCTCCCTGTAGATGTCATTCGGCAGAAATGTAGTAGATGTTCGTCAGTGGACAGGCCAGCCTCCGTGATTGTCGCGTGGAAGCGGTGCAAACCTGGCATTGAAGTCAGGAGGGTTGACAACAGAGCCAGACATGACGCGGTGCCCGAGGAACCACCGCCTTGAACCGTGTTCACCTGATTATCCTTAGTCTGAGTAGCCGGATTATCAAAGCAAACAAGGCCATGCTATAACATGTATGTTAGGCGGACTCGGAGCATAATTGTCAGTAGAATAGGGAAGAACCTGTGCGTCCTCGGGCTGCCAGTGAGTAGCCTGATTATCAGGGCAAACGGTGAATGACATTCGATGCGGACGGTCATGCTATATCATGCATGTTAGGCGGACTCGGAGTATAATTGTCAGTGAAGAACCTGTGTATCCTCAGGCTGAGTAACCTGGTTTTTAGAGCAAACGGTGAGTGACATTTGACACGGACTGTCATCCTATATATCATGTGTGTTAGACGGACTCGGAGTATGATTACCAGTGGAATAGGAAACCTTTACGTCTTCAAGTTGAGTAGCTAGGTTGATAGAGCAAACGTTTGATTGTCTCCGACACTGGACGGCCACGCTGAGAGATGTATTAGATTGACTCAAATATTAATTGAGTAGGGGAGAAGTCAGAACCTGTACAATTTGAAGCTCGGAGTCCAGTTGCTGGTTGTAAATCAGAACAATCAGGTAGTTGAATCATGTAGTTTTGAGTTACCTGAAAGTTTTTCATCATTCCCGGGCGATGGTATATCATGCGAAGGAACACTTCAACTACCCAAGCGTCTTGGTACCACATCAAGTGCGACAGCTCTTCGTCGAGTAGGACCTACAAGATATGTTTCAGCCTAGATACATCAAGTGGTTGCACTCTGCCAAAATATCTATTACCTCTCTCTTGAAAAAATCTATCTGTGATTGAGACTGCTCCCGATACGGTATCGAAAAATCGATATGACGAAGAGCTAAGTCTCTAAGTATTCTCTTTAAGGAACAATCAGGCTGTAATGCATAGCTTCAGGGTTTAATAGACGCCTACTTGTGTCTTGGTGTATATTCGGGAGTCCATTTTCAACCCTGCTTGGAGATAGCGTACAGGAAGCCGAGGGTGGGACAGGTGGTCTATGGAGGCCTGCGAAGGACGCCTCATGGATACGCGTCCTTGAAGTTGGGGGAAGGCTGCTAACACATTGACACAATTAATTGTGGTCTGGTAAACGGCAATAGATAGAACCCACATTCACTGGAGCTGCGAGTAGTGTGACGAGCCATGATAAGAACTAGTAGTGGGTCGGTCTGCAGTACTGAGGTGCTATTTGCCCAGCAATTTATAGTCGTGTGTATGCTCTTTATCTGCGTTGATCAGTTATAGAATACATCATTTGAGGAGGCCCAAACAAATCAAATACCAGGGTTTTCTCCCCGAGGAGTCATCTAAGTCGTCGTCGTCAATTGATTATCAGACACATCGTCAAGGCTCGTGGCCAACATGATGTACAGCGATTCATGCGCGTGTCCAGAACCGAACGACGCGTCTTTACTTCTGACTCGTCATTAAAAACACACCTTTGCACTGATCTCCGCGGTCGTCATCTCGAGCATATCGTCCTAGGTAGTGAGTGCTGCTTCAAGAAGCGAGGAACGACGTCCCTATGTACTACGACTTTCGAAGCCTTCCGACGTGTCATGATTGTGCACCAAGCGTGCTCTCGCTGGAATGTATGTCCTTTGATAAATGTGAGTGTCTTTAAGAAAATGGCTTACCCCAGGTTTTGTCTCTGTCTCCGGGGAAAACGTGGTAGGAGCGTGTTAAACCATGGCGTCGAACTCGAAGTGCAAACAGCTCATTTGTTGCTTCTCGGAAGGTTGGTACTAATGTCAGTAAATACCGCTTACCCTAAATTTCATCAGAGATATCCTAATAATCTGGCAGCTTCGATCAGTTATCGATACAATAAGATGGGACTCCAAAGCGAACAATACGGATCGAAATATTCTACAGGAAGTCGATATTGTACACGAGGTATTGGTGAAGTATGCCATAACAATAATAAGGAAAGGTATAGCCCACGGCACAATGGAACTTGTGCTGAGGGTAGATTTTTACGGTCTGTGAGTTGTAGATTCAACATCAAGTGCCTAAAATGTGGTTGGTGTAACGGCGTAGCTGTAGGGGTCCAAGAACATTAATGTCAACAGCAAACATCAGAAGCACGGGATACACGTCGCATTAGATCATACAGCATCTCTAACATTGTCGTCCTCTCGCACCAAATTGCTCGCCTCACCTGTAAGCCGTCGAGTCCCGTAAACGCCACCGCCGGAGAGGTTCCCACCACCAGAATGATGTCCATCCAAATCCAAGGTCCGTCTCTGGCGCCGCCGGTGGAGCATGTTGTGAGGGCCGAAGTTCAGGTTGGTGGCCACGGCGCCGAAAGGACTGGTCCTGTGACAGTAATTCTGGTTCTGCGATTGTGGCTGGATTATCTCTGGCATCGTCCACTTCAATCCTGATTTGTAGCTCCTGCCCTTCTCTGCGATCCCGCTCTACGCCCCGCAGTCCATAGCTACCCAGTCCCCATCCGACGACCTGGGAACCAGGTTCCCGCATCGAATTTCGGGTCTCTTCACGGCCGAACACTTGGTGTATGCGCTCTACGCGCTCGACAGCTTGTATTCTCGCCGCGGTAAGGTGTGCATGGCGCAAGCGTGCGTACCATCTGTTTACAAATTGTAGAGGGAGTATGTCCCCTGACGACCTATCTGTCATCGAACCTGCAGTCGATAGGACATTGCTAGAAGCGAGAGCATTCAGCGATTCGGAATTATCAAGTCCTTGGTGCCCCTCGCTGGAATCCCGGCTATCAGAGTGGTCGCGCTTCGTTGTGAATGCACCGGTGACACCTTTCCACATGGTCTTGGCCTTCTCCCGTTGCTCCTTCCTCTTCTGTGCTTTCAGTTTCCTCTTTCTTTCACGTTTCGCCTCCTTCACCAGTAACTCTTCTACCTCGCCGACGCCCATCCCGGAACCAACCCACCACCACCATCCAAGGAAACTTTGCCACATGACCACACTCCACATAAGTTTTGGCATCCATGCATACTGGTCTTGACTCGGTATGTAGAGGAAATTGAGTGTGGTGGATATGAGAGCGAGAACGATTGCGCCAGCACCGAAGGCTGCTGTCCCGCCATCGGTGCGCCATGCCGCCTGCCGGTTAACAAAAAAGCCCCAGATTATTAGTGCAGAAGTGAATAGCAACGACAAAGCTGCATTGCACACGTTCCGGGTGTCCTCCGCGAGTGGTATCGAGCTCAACCCGTAGAAGACCGGGAGCAGTTGCATTACAGCAGAGATGATGGCCAATGGACCTGATTACAAGCAGGAAGCAAACACAATGTTGAGATTAGTATTGCGTGGATCGTGAGGAATACAGATGAAACAGAAACGCAGGGGCTTTACACGCGCACTCACCAAGCAGGCCAAAGATGAGTCTTGCCTCCAGGTTTGAGGGAAACAGTAAGGTCAAAAAATGAATGTGGGTAATCTAAATAACAACATCGGTACGATTAGAGGAGCTACGTTCATTTGCACTGACCTGTATAATCACGGATGTAGTCGCATTCATTACGGTCCACGTAGCACTCTCGGCAAGTGTCCATTGGTGTGCATATACCACAGTAGGATCAGTGGAATTTGCCGTAATATTGTTGCCAAACCTTGGCATGTCCACAGCCAGATAGCTCAACATGTATGGCCAATGTTGGCTTTCCTCTATATTGGAGGAGAACACGACATAGAGAGTAGCGGTGATAGAAGCGAGCAAAGTCACCACCGCCGTGAGCTGCAGCATATAATTGACACGAGCTAGGGGCCAGTGATACTGAGCGGTAAAAAGCAGGTGAAGAAGGAGAACGACGACAAGCGTGAGGACCACGCCTGTCAGGAGGATCTGAACTGGTAAGGACTCGACGAAGGCGGGTCTAAACTGTAGAATAGGGTCACTTTCATAACCACTGCTGTCGTTCTGGGCCATGGCAGGACAGAGCTGAAAGATAACGGTGAAGAAGATGGCGAGCCATTCGTGCCGTGTATGCGGCATCATGAACAAGTTCCAAGAGACAACGTGATCCATTGTCACGGATGTCACACACTTGGCTTGCTTGGCTCTACTTGGCTTCCACTCATTGGTACTAGTGCTTCGTGTGAACAACGATAAGACCCCCTTCGGTACTTAGGCAGGTGGCAACATGTTGCTTGGCCTCCGTGTATCGGGGAATACTGATCGGTGAGTGCAATTTTTCGTAGCTTGAAACGCCTTGGCAGTGGGGCAACTGTGGAGTCTAGATCAGAATCAGAAAAACTTCCCCCGCGGCTGGGACAAGATTCAATACTCACGCTATGACTCATAGGAGGGGTTCTGTCTAGAACTCGGTTTTGCCACCTAGGTAGGCTGGCATAGTTAATCAAAAGTTGCATGCCTTGCTCCCGAAAGTTCTAAACCCAACGCAACGTTTCTTACTTTTGTGAAATACTGGAATTATGCTTTCACGGCAGGTGTTTTGCCACAGCCGCCTGGATCATAAGAAGACAGCTAATATGTTTTTCCGGGCCTGCCGGTGCGGGCTTGCCAAGTCGTGACAAGCATGTCTTCCTTCGTCCGCGTCAGCAGTGACTGAAGTTTAAACACCATCTTCCCATGTGACTCATGGTTTGGCCAGTTCGCGGCGTATCGCTGTATCCCCGAGTGATATTGCAAATTCCAGACTGGTCGTCCGCTGAGATTTGTTACAATCACTCTAAATGTACTACAGTAAGCACCAATATTTCTCCGCGTAGAAAACCGAATTCATTGACTGAGAGATCAGGGGGATCTTCAGCCCTTGATAAGCCAAGCTACTCGTGTAGCAACAGCGCTTAAGTTTTAAGTCCCTTCTTGACGCATGACGGGAGAAATCTTTTAGGAAGGGAGGGACTGGTAAGGGACATAACATTACCTGGGCAACCGACACACATGCGTGAGGTTGTCCTTCACCACCGATCCCATTATACCCGTAGGCTTTAATCATTCTACCCACAGATATTCGATCGAAAAGCTCTTATCCTCTACTACGCCCCAAATCCCGCATCGTCTCCGGACAACTGAACACACCTGCTACTCTAGCCCTTACTCCGAGCAGACTGGAGAAACTCGTTCGAAAAGCTCTGGACAAGGTTCTTGTCGAATATAGAGACTCATATATTGCTGTTACACCTCTAAAAAGTAGGACAGTCTCAGATCAGCACGTAGGGGAGCCTTTAAAATATCGAACGTTTTCACCGACGGCTCTCCTACGTCCGCCAAGAGCTGAAAAATCTATATCAAAAATATACTTAACAACGATAGCTTCAGGTTGACATCCAAGTGGCACAAGAAAGGAAGTTTATGTTTTCCAAGTGAACTGGCTGCGATTCATGTATGATCTAAATAAATACTTGTGTGCATATAGGTTTTAATCTAAGGAGGGGGTATTGCAGATGCCAACGATGCAGACGGCACAGAATCCAGATTCGTGGATGGTGCGATTGGTAGTGGTGCATCTCCAGCAGCCGCATTCAGTTGCGCAGCCATCAGCGTCCGGAATCTCGAATCCTTCGAGTTCACAAGCTGCCTATACGTCCCCGACTCTGTTATCCGGCCATCTGGGTGCATAACCGCCCGTTAGTTTAATCTTCGATAAAAAAGAAGCAGAACGCATACCTTCAAGCACGACGATCCGCTCCGCGCGGGCAATAGTTGACAAGCGATGTGCAACGATCAGACACGTCGTGTGTCGTGCTCGCAGGATTTTGTCAATGGCGTCATTGACCTGAAGAGGCCCTGTCAGAACAAGGTCACTGAAGCAGGGCGTAGAGTATCTTACCCTATGTTCCGATGCAGCATCAAGCGAGCTGGTCGCTTCGTCGAGCGCCAAAATCTTGGGCTTTTTCAGCAGCGCACGGGCAATCGCCAGGCGCTGCCTTTGTCCACCACTCAAGCTCAGACGGCCAACTGAACAAAATAATCGTCAAACAATTCACATTCAGCAGGAAGAAAGTGGCACAAACTTTCGGTGTCGAACCCCTTCGGCATCCCAAAGATGAACTCGCAGTTCGCCTCGCGTGCAGCAGCTTCGATCTCCTCGCGCGTAGCATCCTTGTTCCCGAAGGCAATATTCGATGCAATGGTCCCTGTGAAGAGGACGGGGTCCTGGGCGGCTGTTATCAGAAGAGTAGATGCAAATGCAGAGGGCACTTGCCTGGGGAACAATGCCGATCATGCTGCGCCATGACGAAGGGTTGAATTCACGGATATCTATCCGACCCCGTTAACGCTCCATAAGAGGCGAGATAGGCACTACCCACCTTGACCATCAAAGGTCACTTTCCCGTGCACAGGATCGTAGTACCGCAAAAGCAAAGATTGTACGGACGACTTGCCACCACCGCTCTTCCCCCTGTATATTACAGGGTCAGCGGCACCAACAACAACTGCTAGCCCGTACGACTTACACGATTGCCACGCTTTCTCCGACGCCAATCTCGAGATTGAAATCATCAAGGATTTGCACACCTTTCCGACTGGGGTACTCGAACCCGATGTTCTGGAATCTCACCGTGCCGTAGCGCGAAGCGTCAACCTCAATGCCTCCATGGGGCGGAATCGCTGGCGTGCGGTCGAGTAGCTCAAATATGCGTGTACCCGCGCCAATCCCACGCATAATGGAAGACTAATCTCGCTCAGTTTAATGGAGGCCGTCAGAGTATCGAAAACCTACGAAAAATGAACTGTGCAGGGCAGTGTTGCAGTGGACTATTCATAAGTGGAAGAGTACTCACGTCAACATTTGAAGACCCGAGCCAACATATACGGTATATAGCAGGAGGCTCGTCAGGTCTCCGACAGTGATCGCACCCTGCGAAACCAGTGTTCCCCCTACACAAATACAGTTAGGGATTTTCACCAAGATATAAGGAAGTCGTGAACGAGCCACACACCGTATCCAAGCAGCCCAAGGATAGTCACATTTCCGCTCCAACCAGTGCTTCCGAAGAAGATTCCTGATGCGATCGCCTCCTTCCGAGCTAGCGCAAGGACGCGTGTCACCCGGTCGTGGAACTTTCCCTCCTCCTGGTCGCGCGCATTGAATGCTTGAATTGTCCGTAGAGCCGAGAGCGACTCTTGTGCAACCTGGAGTATAATAGAAGACATGTGCGAAACAAGGGAAAGAGGAAGTAAAGCTGACCTTGGTCATTTCACCCATCGCTTCTTGCGTCTGGTTGGAGAGCTTTTTCAGGTAGCGACCATAGAATACCTACAAGCACTCAGATTTCGCCGCAATAAAATGAATTTCTGCTCACAGCACCGAGAGAAACTGGTGGAACAATTCCCAACATCATCACAGTTAGCGTGGGGGACAAGTAGAACATGGCACCAACTGAAGAGGACATGCCCATTCATGAGCAACAGTAGCACGTCTGTATATATGACACTTACGGCCAACAGATGACATCACGATGGCTCGCAGTCCATCTGAAAGATTCTGTGTGACACTGCATGTAATAATTTCAATAGATCTGCCTCAGATACGGCACTGCGAACCCCTACCTCTCCCCGACAATGCTTGAATCTGCAGTCAGTCTGCTTAAAACGTCACCCTCTCCCCTCTCCACAAATTCGACTTCTTGTTTCAGTGCTGCGGCATACGCCCGCTCCCTCAACCGCGCAACAATTCGCTGGCCTGACATTCGCATGAGGAACGACCTCGCTGCATTGCACGTTGCTCCCGTCGTAAACAAAATCAGAAGAGCTGCTGAGGCTTGCCCAATTGACAAACCGAATGGTATTTCCTGCGCACGTAATGAGTCAACCACGTCACTCCCTCACTGTCAATTCACTCACAGGGTTTGCAGAAGAGAAAAAATCTATCAATTTTCCGATCGTAAACGGAACGCTCATCGCAACTGAAGAGGACACCAGTAGCAGGCCCACCGCAAGTAGCAAAGGCCTTTTCTCCTGCTTAGCCAGTGCAATGATTTTCCGGAACGAGGAGCTACTTCCAGGTGCGGGCTGCAAAGCGGATGGCAGGAACCTAGTAAGCCCAGAGATCTTCTTGACAGGCGTCTCGGTTGCATAAAAACGGGAGGTCTGAATAGAAAAGGGATATGTCCGTCTTCTGGAGAGTATGTGTTGAGTCTGTGACGAAAGTGCTAAGGGCCGGACATTACTATGGCAAGACGCCAGCACCCTGCCAGTGACACTTGGGACTCGAGCTCGGAAATTGGACACGTAGATGCCCAGTAGCATATTCTATCACAAGTTAAGCATCAAAGCCGTTTCAACGCTCTACTGTTTTCTGTCCAGCCGAAGAATGTGATTTAAATCAAAGTCTAAGTTAGGCTTGCGCACTGGTGTGACTTGTGCACTATTTGTGCCTTGTTTGGTTCAACACTAAGAATTAACAATATCGATAGCTGAAATTTGGAACTTGAAACCCTTATATCATGTACAAGTAGGAATCCATCAGGCACTCAACATGGCCTCCAGTTCGCTAAACTGCAGTCGCACGAAGGCATAGCCAATCACCCTCGAGACCCTGCGTGATGTAACGGGAATTCACCCTTGTCCTCTGGCGAATGACTCTGAGTGCGATTGTTAACTTCTGAGTCTCTGAGAATCATCGAGTACTAGATGCGAAGGATGGCATGGGCAGACATGCAAGATTTAAGTGAGTTATCAATATACATCCAGTTCAGTATGTTTTAGATGACTCTGCTCAATTCAAAATTGTAGCTTGCCTTTGACCGATGAGCAGTCTGATGTGGTGGTCCCGTGGGTTGGGTTGCAACGGACTCCGGAATAATTCAGAATGATAAATGATGATATGTTACTATGTGTATTGTGCAAGCGGACGGCAAATAATTCGTGATTCATCTGCTAATATATAAATTCATTTCAGTTCTATCTCGCCGTCTACTTACTTACCACCAGGGCTGCCAGTGGCAGCAGCTCCATCCGGTTGACTATGCGGTGGACAGGCGGCTGAGCACCAAGTTCCTCTACGGTCAGGTCATTATTACTACCTCCTTGGATGTGATTGGCATGATTCAGGTGAGTCTACGCTGTCATCGCAATGCGACTCGCATAAGTTGACCTGATAGGGCAAAACGGACACATCACAGCCTCCTTTGATCGTTAGATGCGACGTTTTGCTCCGGAACTATTATCCACCTTCTCCCTGCTTGGCAGTGTATTAGTCATCCATTCCTTCTGCAAGTAATCTGTTCTACATCTATTGATGCTGACTATTGAATTGCTACTAGTACCCGGCGGTAAATGGCGATTCCGATACATGCCGCTTGCTGTTCAGAGTCGTGGTGACGGGCCGCTATATCGTAAGCATGATGCGCATGACCGCTTCAGCATCTCACGTTCAGGAGCTCGGGGATCTGCATCCGCTGTGGTACCATCGTCAGTGATCGTGGAAACTTGCATCAGTGGGTATCTGGGCAACCTCCACGCATGTCGAGCCCTAATTTCCAGACCTCCGGGCACAACCTGCAAATAGCACTTGAGCTTGTGAGCTATGCTCTCTGGCGCCTACTTCCTGAGCCTGAGGCTACACGTGGGTGACCCGATTTCGACCACTGGGAATGATTTGGACTTTCAACTACATAATACTAATACTTTTCGCGTCACTGGCGTCAACTATTTCGCGTAGCGGGCACCAATGACACGATAAATATGGTGTATTTAATATACTAAACATCACAAGGTAAAATGTCCCACAAATGCCAGTCGTACTGGCTGAGCCTCACGAATCAGGTCTAACTGACTCTGCGTTGAAGAATATGACGAGGTTTTGGCTTAGTTCTTACAAAAATTTCAATGGGCCGAGCCACGGCTGGTGACTCACCTACGATAAGTCCATCTCCAAACCGCTGGGCGGAGTGTTTCCTTTCTTAGCAAGTTCGCACAGATCTTTGCGTGTCACGCCAGCTGGCTGGGTTTTGCGCACGTGAATTGCCCTTACTACCGAGCACCATCCGCCACGGTTCACGGCCTGCAGGGATTCACTGGGACTGGATTCTGGTTATGCAATGATGGGCCTTCAAAGCTGATGCACTTTCTTGCTGTAATTTCCGTGCGTGATAAATCACCCAAATTGCCATTTTTCTCATCGCATACCCTCGTATACCCTCAGGCAACCCAAACTGCGATGACCGGTGCACGGCATGGAAGGCTATTGGTGCAAGTCTTCATATTTGCGCTGCAAAGGATTTAACCCCAAATCAATTTTGAATTCACGCAGGACAACGCCGGGGGAGCTATAAGAAGTTATCACTACAATCGTGATCTCCATCAGCCTCTCGAGTTCGCTAGCCATGTTGTCTATCTTCGCTGTCCCTCTTCTTGCTCTGTCCGTCGTAAGCGCGAGCACGCCTACCACCCGCTCCACATTCCCCGTTGTAGGAGCTTGGTATGCCGGTTGGCACGCTACCGAAGGGTTCCCGCTGTCTTCAGTCAGCTGGGGGAAGTACAATACATTGTACTACTCATTTGCGTAAGTTTTCTATGCTGGCTTAAATGCACATCACTTGTCAAGTGGGGTGATTAACGCGATAATGTCTCTTAGAACCCCAACTTCAAGCGTCGACAGTCTGAGCCTGGACGGCTCTAATGGCGATCTACTTCCTCAGTTCGTTTCCGATGCCCATTCAAATGTGAGCGAAGGAGAGTTTATCGCTTTCAGAATCGATGTCTAAGGCACGTTTAGGGCGTCTCAGCCCATGTTGCTGTTGGAGGCTGGCTTGGGAGTACTTGGTTCTCTTCTAGCATTGCCACATCTGAAAACCGGACGGCATTTGTCAAGACCGTGGCAAAATTTGCTCATCAGTACAACGTTGATGGCATCCAGTTCGAGTAGGTTGATACTTGTGACTTCAAACTCATGCGCTAACCCCAGCTGTCCTTGATTTCCGACAGCTGGGAGAATCCCGGCAGACAGGGTGCCGGTTGCAATACCATTAGCGTCGATGATACGTCCAATTTCCTCAAATTCCTCCAGGAGCTTCGCCAAAACGCAGTGGGAGCAAATCTGACACTCTCGGCCGCGGTATCCCTCGCACCCTTCACAGACGCTAGCGGAAAACCTTCTGCTGACGTTTCCGGTTTTGCGCAGGTCTTCGATTACATCGCTTTGATGAACTATGATGTTTGGGGCTCTTGGTCTGAGCATGTGGGGCCGAACGCACCGTTGAACGATACCTGTGCCTCGTCCGCGAACCAACAGGGCTCGGCCGTTTCTGCAATCAAGGCTTGGACTGCCGCAGGCATGCCGGTCAACAAGATCGTACTTGGAGTTGCTTCCTACGGCCACTCGTTCAGCGTATCTCCCTCTGTCGCCTTCGAGTCTGGTACGAAGACGCTAGCTGCATACCCCGCTTTCAACGCCTCGAAGCAACCTTTGGGTGACGTGTGGGATGATACTAGTACCGTCGATGGTTGTGGCGTGAGCCATGGCCCAGGTGGCACTTTCAGATTTTGGGGTCTCATGGACGACGGCTTCCTTACCAAAGAAGGCACGCCTGCTGATGGCATTTACTACAGATATGACGAATGCAGCCAGACTGTAAGATTTCCATCTTTGATCACGTATTGTAGCAGCAGTGCTTATTTCACTGATTTACAGCCGTATGTATACAATGAGACCTCGCAAGTTATGGTCTCCTTCGACAATTCCCAGTCTCTCGCTGCCAAGGGCAAGTTTATTCAGGATACCGGGCTGCGCGGTTTCACGATGTGGGAGGCTGCTGGTGATTACAACGATATGCTCTTAGACTCTATCAGCGATGCTATGGATTGTTAATACACCGCTGATACCATCCTTATGCACTGTTCCGGTCGCTACTAAAATGGGCTACGTAAACCACACATCACTCGTTTAAAATCTTCCTAGTACTCTAGGTTACTATCCAACCGTAAATGCGTTGGCATCCCTTACATACTAACAGTATTTTCGTTCTGCCCAATGCTGCACGAGAAACCCTGTAATTGCAATTCAAAATTTCAAATGGAGGCATCCTGAAGCCTGAGGGAGCTCGAGTTCTACATACTGTTTGTGACGTTCCCCGACTTCCCACGGAGTGGGAGGAGGGTTTTGTCGGATCCAAATCCCCAGGCACCTATACCTCGATGCGTGGGAACCCTTTCGAAAAAACTGTACAGTTGATCGATCGAAGTCTATCGTCTCTATAGCTAAACTTGTGTGTATGTCTTTTCGGTTTCTTTCTGTGTGCTTGTTTTATTGATAATATTCAGATTCCAGAATGTCTGTGTTTCTCTCGAAACACCCCAGTACGGCGCCTCGAGTACTCGATGCTAAAGGTTGCCCACCTCACAACATCCTTCATGATATACAATCATATCCTCTTTTTTACTATGCTTTATACTACCGACAATATCATAAACTTATATATGCAACTGCCGAATTTTTTTGCTGTTGGTTACAGTTATCGCTCGCCTCCCATTCTAACATGTCTCAAATGTGGTCCCCTCTATCGATCTGTCACAGTGGCTGTAGTTTTTGATAGAGTATGTCTGTCTGTTCATCTGGATGACATTTCGATGACTTTCAGTCGCGCGCATTTCGAGTCTGCTGCATATGTGTGCTGTAGTGTATTCAAACGCTTCAAGAATTATCGAGAACCTGTTCAACAAGGCACTCCCCTCCCAACTGCTGCCTCGTGCATTATGTCCAGACTAAAAGATGATCCTCGATGGTTTTCCTACACTGATGCTTGCTGTGCAGAAAATTTGTCTGCTTTGTCCGCGCCTGTCCTGCGTGGTGTTGCACGGCGTATTGGTACTAAAAGATCCGACGCGCGAAATAAAGAACGCAGTGTCGATGCAATTGTATCTCATTTCGCTTCTCGACGCACAGAGCTCGCAAGCATGTCAGATGATATCCTCTTCAAGAGTCTCTTGACCGCATCAGTCCCACCTGCTTGCACAAGATCACGGGGCACTTTACTTGCTGCTGAGTTTCAGAACTTGTACGGTCTCAATTTGGCAACTACTCTAGTAGGTACTCCTCCTATCATCAGCGCACCTCCTGCTCTCGATCCAGCAGCTGTGCAAGTCTCTAAGCCATGTCTTTACAGTGGATTTCAGCATCTGTTGATGATATTCCTCGCCGTTTAGAGAAGCTGAAACGCACTGACATCTAGACATGTATTCCTCGATTAGCACCACGCTATCGCACACTCTACAACAAGCTCTTTCATCGATAAACGTGTGATGCACTCGCTAATCATGCCCGGCAACGCGCACTACACCTATTTCATGCTGGAGCAAGTGTTTTGGGTGACGTTTATCTGGCATATTTTCTGTTCTTGAGCTGTTATTTACTCTCAGATAAGGCTGCTTTCTATCAAATTCTTGCTCATGAGTTTGGCGTGCTCGTTACTGAACGTTTGTCACAGGAAATTGTCTCGCGCTCTGTCAAGGACATGTTAGTCCATCTAGAATGCAAATAGAATGCGCTGGCAGAGGTGAGAGATATTCGTACAGATCGAGAGCGGGAATGACCGATGCCTGTTTCAAAAGCAGTCATTTCGGCGTATGCAGTTGCTGCCATGTGCAGCCTACACGAAGAAAGCTCTCCATTATCCCAAAGGCAAAAGGAAGACTACTAACGAGCTCGGAGGTCAGTCACCTGCTAAGAACTCAAAGTTATCGACGGAGAGCCATGACATCTTTGACATTGAGCTGGAGGCTGATGATGATTAGCCTGACTCGAGTCACTCGAATACTATTGTCAAGTTTCAAGTAGTGCTGCATCTGATCTGCGAAGCGCCTGATTGCTATATCGATAGACTGTTTACTACCAATCCGTCGTCATTTCTTGAAGTTGAAGTCGGGGACTGGCGTTTCCCAGCGCCGCTACGATAAAAATTACTGCTTCCTTGGCTTCGATGTCACGTACGTACCTGCGCCACTCTGCACCTGAAGCAGACCATCTAGCCTATTATACTAACATGGCGATTATATCTTTTAAGTGAAGGCTTTCACTGGTCCCAACTCTCTATGTGCCGAGCACCACAATCCATCCGTCCAATTATCTCTGGATGGATTTCAGTAAATGGCTCATTCATTTGTGAATCGACCAAACATCTCAGTACTAGAGGAAGGTATCACGTAACGAGCCACAAATGATACATAGGTATGACTAGTGGACCAGTTCCAACAAAAATAAGTACAGTGGCGACTGTAATCAACTGCCAGCCGACAATTTCTCGCAAACTTGAACTGTAATGAAAGGAAGTTCGAGTCGTGGTTGGCGTTATACGCAGAAAAGTCGCCGACCATGCTATCTCATCATGTCCAACAATTTAGTAAGTGCGCTTCCAGTCTTGCGAGGTTCCGGAGAAGGGAGTTCCCTCACGAATATGTTAGTACCAACGGAAGACGTTTCCCCGTGTCTCGCCCACTTTCGAACCACATCCAATAAGCGCTTTTCCGCCCATCGCATCATCATGCTTTCTTTTTGCCAAACACCATTCGTCCAGATAGCAAGGGGACCACCAATCCTCGCACGAGCAGGTGTGTCACTTGAAGATGAGGCGAAGCCAGAGCGCATTCGGTTTGCCATGATCACATCCGTAAATATACGGTCTCCGACTATAACCAGTTCGTCATCGGGGATTGGAACGCGAAGAGACGAAAAGTAGGCGCGTATCGAAGCAATGCAGGAATAACCAGGCTTAAGAGTGTCATGTCGGAGAACCGGGACAGAGAGGTGATATGATACCGATTCTGCCTGTGTATGTTCAACTTCTGACTGTGTTTGATGAATGCTGGCCATACCTGGATTCCTCCAGCATCGAACTTGGTGCCAGCGGAATTGCTGACGATTATTACGTTTCCTTCCCCGAATGCCTCACGACATTCCTTCCAGGCATCCTGCAAAATAAGTTCTCAACATCTGACTTCAATTTATGACCCTTTAAACTCACTTCGAGCTGTGGCACAAGAGCATCTTTATACGGGATTGTCTGCTGTGTGTTCAGGAAGATAGAGACATCAAAAAGCTCGTGACTAACCAAGCAATTGTCTTTATCAAAGACTGCTCCTCTATAGCCTGCATTTCGAAGCGCCAAAAAATCAATTTGGCGAATATCTGTCTGTAGTTTAGCGTTAGTTGTAGCTATGAATGCAAAAAACTAGGGCGACCTTTTACTGTTACATGGGGAATGATAAGTCGGGGATTCTTGAGCAGGTGAAACGGAACAAGAATGCCTGGGATGTTCAAGGGCATCGATAGAAAAGGTGAAAAGACAGTCTCGCTTCATATATCAATTACATAAAAGCAATGCAACATTTCGTGACACCCGGCAAACACCGTCGACTGACCTTGCACAAGTTCATCTCTCATAGCACTAGCATCGGTCAATTCCAGCAGCGTACTAAGAAACATGGACGATGACTTTGATTTTGACCGCGCGGCCTCCGCCTTTCCTGATCTTGACCTAGACGGGCAGGGTGACGTGCCCTTGCCATCAGCCCCGGCGGCGGTCAGTAGTGGCTTCTCGTTTGATGATTTTGGGACTCCACTGGGGCAGACCGAAGTGACGGTCACAGGCAACGATGAGATTGAGAAGTTTGAGGATCAGTTTCCAGAGTTGAATATTGGGCAGGTAAGTAGTGTTCATGGGTAACTGCACTGTATTAAGGTGCCTGTTTGCTGCATAGTCTGTATCTTCTCCTGCACACGCCCTACCAACTTTCGGCGCCCCTCCTCCGTTTGCTCCTCGCCCACAGCCATCAGCATTTTCGTCCACGCCCATCCTCAACCAGCAACTCGACGAAGACGAGCCTGAAGTTATCAGGTACATCGCCAAATTGTTATATACAAGTTCACCGCTGACAGTTGTCTATCACAGGAAATGGCGCGAAAGTCAGCTAGAAGAAATCCAGGCTCGCGATGAAGCCAGTAAGGCTAAACGCCAACAAACTATTGGGAAGGCCGAACATGCTATTGACCAATTCTACGAGGAATATGCAGCAAAGAAGGAGCGAACTATTCGGGAAAACAAGTCAGTTAAACTTTGGCCAACTAGACGAGTTACACTGATGAATTTTTCAAAGGGATGAAGAAGGAGATTTCCTAGAGTCACTATCTTCATCTCTTACCAAAGGGACGACTTGGGAACGTATTTGTGAGATCGTGGAGCTGCAAAATTCCCAGAGCAAAACAATCGCAAGGGCTGGTCCTAGTACCACTGACCTTTCGCGATTCAAGGAAGTGCTGTTGCGCTTGAAGCGCGAGGGAACTGCTGCTCCCGGCGCAGCTGGTTATTAGACATTACGTGTTTTACATGTGTATATACCTGTTGTTTTAATTTTCTGGACTTTTCTTTCCTCCTGAGAAGCACAGACAAAATAGTAAGCAGTAAAAGCTATGTAATATCCTCAGAGCCTGGGTGAAATATTGGAATAGAGGTGTGCCTCCACCCAGGTAATACACTCCTCGATGAGCTTCTCCTTCACACCGTCTGGTTCGTTGTGAAGTTCATGATAGCCACCCTGTTGAAACATAAGCCTACAGTTCGCAGCAGTGACATCGCAACTGCTTACTTGGTAAATGGATATTTTCTTATCCTTTGCTGGTACCCGTTGATGAAATAGCTCAGAAGCTTTGGGAGAGGTTACCTACGACACGTCAGAGCTTCCTAGGACGAGGTGTTCTAAAGGGCGCGAACCTTGTCATCCGAACCATGTATGAAGAGGACCTGACGGCATTCGTGAATGGTACAGAAAGGGGGACTCGACTGAAACAACTTACAGGGAGGTCTGTGGGCCAACGGACGTAATCGGAGTGCAAGAGGTGCTCGCCCTGAGAACTAGAGGTGAAACGTCAAACAGAAAAGACAAATTGATTAATTACCCCGTCTAACATGTCGCTTACTCCGCGAAGCGACCCAACTTGCTTGACCATAGGATCTTTCGCATATTCCTCGCCGACAGTCTTGTCATGCGACAAATTCTACGACGATGCAGTTAGCCATCCATATCTGCAAGGGGAAAAAGTTGCGTGTACCTGACCCTTGACGTCCGATGGAATAGTGAGCGAAGGCACTAATAAGCTAGCCTTTCCACCTATCCATCTTGCTGCTTTAGCGGCTGGCTTCGTTTGAAGGATGAGGGGGCTAGTGGAAATCACGCCCGCCAGGTTTGTTACTGTTTCCTTTGCAGGGGGACTACTTGCCCTGGTACAAAATGCAAGTACCAATGCTCCACCCTAGGGGTGTACGTGTCATATTGTTCGACATTCAAAATATGTAATTCATACCATTGAATGCCCATACAGAAACACGGGAATGGAACCGAACTCGCTCTTCGCGTGGTTTATGGCCCACTCGATGTCTTGAAATTGTTCCTTCCAGCTCGTCTTCGCATACGAACTATCCTTGCTCTTCTTATCCGTGTCCAAAGCCGTCCTGCCAAAGCCGCGCTGGTCATACGCAAAGACGGCTATGTCGCGCGCGGACCAAGTAGGAAATACATGCTCGTACCGAGCAATGTGCTCGATGAAACCGTGCACGAAAATTACAACAGCTTTTGCGGTGGAAGCTGGGCGGTACGTGTGAGTATAGAATTGCGTGTGCTGTGGACCAACTAGCCACGACTCCGAGAAAGCTGTCATGATCTGCAAGAATGATGCGGCTCAAGCTGGTTTCTCACGAGTCACAATAACTAATTCCAAATTAGGAGCCCACCAAACAGTCGGCATGTATGTCTCATTGTCTTGCGCTTACTACGAGTAAGCACTGTCCTTCATCTGACTTTCGGAATTTCAGATAATGGAAGAAAATTGGACACTCGGAAGTCTGCTGACCTCTGCCTCGTTGGCGCGCCGGCAGTCTCAGTGTTTTGCCTCACACGGCCTAATCACATCACAATTTCCATCAATCAGAATTCCCATTGTCGTGTGTCCCGACTCGGCTACCAAGGAGTTGAATATCGCTACGTTCTGGCTGTCGCCGACGAGGCGGGCTCAAATTTCGCTAAGTCGAATGCAGCAGAACATTGAACCCACATTCGCACGCCGGAGGTAGGTATCCCTGAATCACATACTCAAAAACTAGTGCAGACTCGAGTGTAGCGTATACGCAATTTTCCTGATCATGACACTCCTTGGAGTCCATGCAACCGCATTACTGAAACTGTCACGCGTCAAACGAAGGAAACACCGAACACGTACTTCCTTGCGCCGGCCGGGCCGCAGAGACATCTGTCTGCCCGTCCTTGTCGCTATGCGGATAATATAAAAGCCACGTCCTTTCAAGTTACCTTCAACATAATGCATATCCCGTTCTTGGTAGCATTAGTGGGTGGGCTTTTCTCGGTAGGGCGAGCTTCCCCAAACACAGGCGGTGTGTCATGTACCGTCACAGCGAGTGGCGGAGATGATGGACCGGCATTCGTGGATGCTGTTCAACGTTGTGACTCAGTGACAATTCCTCGTGAAACTACTCTTTCGATAGCAACAAGGATGAATATGACCGGCCTCAAGAACAAGAACATTGTATGTGACTGTTCTATTATATTATACTGACAATCTCACATAGCGGGGGTTGCAGGATCTGTTGGGAACCGTAAAATTCACAAACAACATGACATATTGGATTAACGTATGTGTTGGAAATCGCAATGCATCACCTGTTAATTCCTCGCCTTAGAACGGCTTTCCATTTGAGTTCCAGGACCAAATCGCCTTTTGGATCGTAGGTGGGAATGACATCCTTATCAATGGTGGTGGAACAATAGATGGTTCAGGTCAGGTATGCTTATTAATGCATAGGGTAGATGTGCTGCTAATCTCATAACCTGCAGGTCTGGTATGACGCATTGTGAGCAGGACTTATAGTAGTCTGGATATAACGTTTGGTTGACTCTGCACCCAGCGCCACTAACAGTACTCTCTTGCGCCCAATCCTGCTCACGGTTTACCAAGCCACTGATGTTGCCGTCAAAGATATTACGATGGTCAACAGCCCTGAGTGGTTTAACTTTGTGAGCATTTCAGAGTTTATTCGATCTTTGACTCGACCAGTTTACCCCTCACGGCAGGTCAATGAAGGGAAGAATGTTGTCTATGACGGCATCAACATTAGTGCCGTCTCCACATCAAACAATCTTGCGAAGAATACTGATGGCTGGGATATATATCGCAGTGATAGCATTTCCATCATTAATTCGAACATCAACAACGGCGATGATTGTGTTTCATTAAAACCAAGTACCATCTATGCTCGCCAGGGCTTCATGGTTCGCTCATGCAGTCTTTGTCCTAGATTCCACAAATATCATTGCATCAGACTTATACTGCAATGGTTCCCAGTCCGTTAAAGCCTTCTTTGGGCGTGGCACGCACCTGCTCACATTCTGTTGACAGTGGTATTTCCGTGGGTTCCCTCGGGCAATATGCTGGGGTATATGACATTGTTGAAAACTTCACTTCGACGTGCGTTTGAACATGGACTTCGATAATAGCCAGGAGCACTGATCGAGAGCTCTCAGCAATATCCAAATGTATAATGCTGAAAATGGCGCACGCATCAAAGCCTATGCTGGTCCGGGAGTCGGCAGTGGCATTGTGAAGAACATCAATTATAGCTTCTTCACCGAGGGCAATGTCGACAACCCCTTGATTGTTGATCAGGTTCGCGCTGATCTTCTCGCGATCTGCAAGAGACTAATCAATTGTTGTGCAGTGTTACATGACCAACGCAACAGAATGTACTGCTTACCCTTCCAACGTATATATTCAGGACGTTGTGTTTGCCAAGTGCGCGAAAGTGTTTCTGTCCTTTGGTTGAAACTTACGCAACTGTAACCTAAGTTTCAATGGCACTTCGTCTGGAGCAACGAATTCCGTGGTTGCTTCGTTGGCATGCTCGCCGGACGGTCGCTGCAGCGACATCAGTGTTAACAATATTTTCCTTGAGTGCGTTCTTTTTTTCTGCTCCTTCAGGTCAAGAAAATAATCAATCTGCAAAGGGCACCTCCACAAGATGGTAGTGCGACCTACTCTTGCCAGAACGTGAATATCACTGGGAACGCTGCTTACCTGTTTGGTGACTGTGCGACTACCTAAATACAATCGAGCACATATGTAGTCAGTGTCGTGGTTGTGGGTTTGTGTGCAATAAGCTCGTAGTAGTACACGCAGTCTTCTCAAGCTTAAAAATTGGATTGTTTGAGCCTGTCGGACTGAGCGCCCCTTGAAGTCAAGTGAATCAAGTGAAGTCAATCAATCAGAAATTTGTTTACATAAAGTTACATAACTTCTCTTTTCAAGGCGGACGTCTAGCCTAGGTCGCCAACTGGCAGCTCTGCACCGATGTCTCTCTTCTCCAGAATGAAATACCTTAAAGCTTTGGTCCGCTACAACCGATCTAATTTCACTACACATCGCTCAAGGTGGTTTTCCCTGTTTCCTGGCCGTGCTCAAGGAACCCATATACCAAGAGGTCAACCATTTTATGAACTGAAGAAGCCCAGTATCTTAATCAAGTTCACCTGGACACTTCTCGTAGCTGATGCGGTCTGCACGTAAGTTTTTCTGTTCTAATACGCGCTAATTTAACTTCAATGGTGTGCAGACTGGCAATGTGTGAGCTTTCCTGGAACTATTTTACGCGTCCTGTGGAACCAACGGAGTCCGCAATATCCGATGACTCCTAATACTATGGGCAATAGGCCACAGTATGAACCCCGCCCGACATACCAGCGTGCTGGTTTGGTCTTTATGCATCTCGCATTTGGAGGTTGGGTGGCATTTATGATTGGCATGAAAAGTGGAATGAATGTAAAGAGGATCTGGCTGACTCCACCACGTCAGCGAGGGGGTCTGGCCATGACGACGCGGAAGGCAATTGCGCGTCCAAAGGTCGCGACTTTCGAAGGCTTCGGCAGTTTTGGTCTACGGGGCAATGCACTGGACGTGAAAAATTGCCGCTTATCCACTGCAGAACCCGCAAACGACCTAACATTGATTGTTGCCGCACCGGGGAATAGAGAACAGCAACTTTCGATCGCGACGAAAGGCGTTTATATTGACGGCAAGCCTGTTTCACGCGATGAAGTTTACACTTCGCTCTCGCAAGTCTTTGGACATAAATCCGAACCCGCGTCCTGGATAAGTGGACCCATTCTCAGAGATGCACAGGTATGCATACCCCGTCAGCTGACAATCTCATGCTTATTCTCATTTAAAATAGAACCCATAATCAAACTCGGGCAGGATGGGATCTTGCGAACCTGCTGTTAGCCAGTCGCAGCTGACAGTTTACGATCCATATTCCCTCGGCCAGATTGAGGCCCCTGGTATGCGATATAGTTACTTAAGCTCGTTTTTGCACGTCCTTCTAAGAGGTGTGTAATGCATCAAACTACTTATGACTGCCATGCCACGTTACTAGTCAAGCTCAAGGTTCACGTCCACAGCACGAGGACTACCTTAGTCTGGTCGTATTGGCTACATATATGAACAACGCATTATCCAACATCCATGGCGGTGAACTCGTACATCGCACTCTTGAACGCAAGATACTACCTGCAGACATTATCCCATATTGAAGACGAAGTGACACTTCCCATTCGACCTGTTTAGGCTGCCATGGTTGGTGGATGGAGACCAATGCTTTGACCACGCTGTCGATTACGATGGCGGTTGAGGTAGAATCTTTTGAGTATTTCTCTAGGATTGATTCGCCTGTCCGTCTGCGTCTAGTCTCGGAATAGAGCCCTAAAAACTCTCCTAGTAGATGATCACGCTTGCTCTAGCCTGCAATGTTTATTGCTAGTGAAAAGTCGCAAGCCACTTCCGGCTTCAATGCCCCCCATTTGAATATTGTAAGCCTGAGGCGAGCCTCGCGCTTGACCAGTCTGACCACCTAGTAAGTACTTATGTGAATGTGCAAATTACGGCCGGTCTGGGTGCATGTCTTCGCAGACCTTAGGCTTGTGACATGACTGCTGCCGGAGTCTTGGTCATCGTTGCCCGCCTGCCCGCCCTCTGCTGCCTGCCGCCCGCCGTCTCGAAAGGAATGCTGATTTCGGGCACCGTCTTAACCGAACGATATCAACCTCATCTTCCTCCGTCTTTCATTTCAGGTGTTTTTCGTTCATGGTCTGTGCTCAGCGTGTGACAGCGGCGGGGTGGCGGTGATGGCGGAATGTCGGGCGCTGTCAGCCACTGGCGACTTCAAACTCCGCCACCCGTGCCGAGCGTGCACCAAGACCGGTCATTTAAGACTCGTCCTCCACCAGTGGGTTCGAGAGTCGAGACCAGAGCTATCACTCGTTTGACTTACCGTTACACGGAACGTACAACAGTCCCAACTTCTTGATCTGTCCAGTTAACCATATTTCCTGCGATACCACCCACTCCTCCCGGTAACAGACACCTGAGAACGGGTACGCTAGTATTAAGTTGGCCGTCACTTAACGACATCTTGTTTCTCTGATATCGAACTCATCGAGGTCGTCTCTGAGCAGAACCAAAATTAGTCGCTTGGTTATGCACGCGGCCGCCAGGAGGCACAATTCTTATCTAATCACGTTAAGGGAGTAAACGCTTCTGCCCTCCCCCACGCTGATACAGTTGCACCAACTGGAAAGAAATCGTATAGGCCGTTCTGTGAATGCGACCAGTAAGCCTGCTGTCGCGAGTGTAAGCGTCAGCTCTTCCATTGGTCTGCAGGAATCATCTGGTCAGGTAGGAAGGAAGAAGAATATATTAAAATGGTATGTTTCTTCGCCTTGAACCCTGGGACGTAGGCTGATACAAGTCTGGTTACTCAGATAGCCCACTTGACCGCAAAGCATTAGGTTTGGTTCTGGTAAGGAGTTTATCGTGGAGAAATGAAGGTCATTAACCCGCCACAGGTGCTGCCATCGACGGTGATTTTCTCTGAGCGATATTATGATGTGGTCGTGGCATAGCTTCAATATATGGTTCAGAACTTTGGATACCACAAGGATCTGATATTGACAGTGTGTCCTATAATTATCTGCTGTGTCCTCAAAGACGTTGACAAGTAAATGTATACATTGCTGGTCTCGAATCATTCTTGATGGGTTTCAATACTTGATGTTCCGACTAGCCCCGATATGGATCGGTGCCGGGCCTGCCGGCAGAATGATCATACCAAGAAGGCCTGGTATGCTGGCTGGGTCGGCACTATACTCCAGTGGAACCTTCCTCAAGGAACAACCTCTTTGTGCTCATATGCACCACCTGAGCCAATGTGAACATAACAAGCGAAATTGGATGGCACACCAATGGCGAGCAAGAAAGATGGAAGTAAAGTAATCAAGTGGCTTATCTATTGCGACCGGTGGAGATGGAGCCGTTGACCTGCTTTCAGTGCATCACAGATTTTGCGCGGTGTGGTATGTCAGGATGATGACTTGTACTGTGACATATGGTTTACCAGGGTTGATCTGATGACACCAATCTCATTGATGTCCTGTTTCCTGCCGTGTCGTTCACTAAGGATGGTCTGATGTCCCCTGTCCAATTGATTCTTTTTACCTGCCGTGTCGGTTGCTTACCAGGGATAGTCCGATGACTCCGATGCAATCGATGATCCCATGTGCCGGACTATTAGCGCAGTTGAGAGGCCTGCATGTTAACGTGATTGCTTATCGGAACTTGTTACGGTATGTGCTGCAACCTCCAAAATGAAGCCTCCACAAACTTCTTGACGAACAGGACAGAAGAAATCATTCAGCTGACTTCACAGCCTGATTCGAATGCTGTCGATAAACACTGCATTTCAACTTGCTGTATGGCAAGCCACCCGTACGGTGCTGCCAACAACTACACTCAGCTCACCCGATCTGCCACAGCGTCTGTTCCAGACGTCCCTGTTCCACCAGCTGTATCCTCGGACTTCCCACAGTAACCATTTGGTAGACCCGTTGTGCTACAGCGTCTGGAGTTACTTTCCCATTGATTATGCCCTCGTGTCAAGGCGGGCGTTCGACACAAACAGCCACATTACTAACTAAATTCATCGGACTTGCTATAGCGTCTGTTCCAAGGTGTCCCTGTCCCATATTGTATTTACAACGGGCTTCCCAGATAAGGTATCCTTTGCATGCACACCACCACGGATAAGCATATTCTGCTGACAAGAGTTATCCCTTGCCAACATAGAAACAGTGTGAGCAACTCCGAGATCGGTTGTCATATCTTTCTGACTTGCCAAAAGCTACAATGTTGAAACGTTGACGCCGGGCCCGGAGAAACCGAGCTCAACGAACCTGAGAAGCATTGAACGAAAGAGTAGATCCGGACTAATTCCCCCTACATCAGTAGTGGGTTTTTCCGTGCCATGGCTGTTTAGACCTAAGTAGTCAAGACTGTCGTCCCTAGGCCTTAACCGTTACGCCCAGATCGTTAGGCCAAAAGGCAGTGATAATCAAAGCGTGAGCTTTGATTATCTCGGACAGTATTTATGTTGATTATGGGAATTCAGGTAAGCAACGAGCTTACACCCTCCCACGTTTTCACGTCTTTCTATCCCCCCACCAGTGCCGGCTCCAATCGCGTAGCACTGTGATTTGGTGTGGGAATTTGGGAGGACACAAATGGCCACCCCGAGGGCAAACCTTGAAATTTGCCCCGGAGCGGGTTGTAACGCCCGACCTCATGCAAACCTTGAGCTTTGATTATATGTAAGTAGTCAAGACTAGGTCGTCCCCTAACCGTTACGCCCAGACCGTTTGGCCAAAAGGCAGTGATAATCAAAGCTCAGAGCGCTCACGCTTACAATTATCTCGGACAGTATTTATATTGATTATGGGAACTCAGGTAAGCAACGAGCTTACATATCATCAGCTTATCGCACTCCTAATGGACGATGTACTCCATTAGGAGTGCGATAAGCTGATGATATATGATGCAATCTTGCATACAACCAGCCATCTGGGGACAACATATCATAGGACGAACTGTTCAAGAAGTTCATCGAGTCTTTCATCCCGGTATCATCTAGGTGTCCTCGCGTGGTCGGAGTATCATATATCACCATCTGTTGGACAGGAAAGGTCGGTATTCGAGACATCTGAGTTGTGTGACCGCGAGCCAGAAGTGACGGCAAGACCATTACTCGTTTTTGAACACGAACAATATCGTTGACAGCAGGACACCCCCTAGGCCTCATAGGCAGACCACGGACACTCACAAATATCCAGAAACTCAAGGCACATCAATATTAATAGATACGTGGAAGCCAAAAGGAATGCGAGACGTTTGCTTTAATAGTGGGCGGAGCCACTTGAGAGCAAAACGAATCGGAAGGGGTGTCAGCGGGATACGAGTGCATGTATGAACGCCATCGGGCCTGCTTAAGAGGGGGTATCCTCATAACGGTGAATTTATGATAACCTTGAATCTGACCTCGGCTTGAATCAGCAGATTAATTCGGTGCCTGATTAGGATAACGCAAATATTGTTACCGAACGTATGGTAACTTAGGGTGTATGGTTCAAAATTGCTGGTGATGTAATAACTAAGAGTGCTGTCCTTGTGGTACCACACCGCTATCGATCGGTCAATCGATCTCCCAGTCGATCGAGGTTCAAGTCCTTTTATGGTCGTCCTTGCTGACATGATTCCCATCTCCACACGCGTATTATAATCATTATATGATCGATGTGTGTATGTCGTTACTTCTAAACAACACCATGCTGCCCCTTGGTCTGGCATGCAGTGTTCCAAGCTTCGCGCCCATCCTACCTGCTGTCCAGACATATAAAAACCGTAGAGCACATATTCCCTTCTGTAGGCCCTGATATACCACGTTGCTTTCTCTCATTTCTCTTCTACAGTATAATCATGCCAGACCGGCTCGTGATCAACAAAGAAGTCCTCGACGATAGTGTTCATCGCACATCCACCAACCTGTCTAGTAGTCTTCCCTACATCAATGGTGACATGGTAGGATTTCTCCGACGATTCTTCTCTGTCACGCTGATCATTCCAAAGATGTCTCCTTCAAATACACGAGGCTCAACAACATGCCCCAATCATGGGCTCGCGGTGCCTCATTCTATTACAATATCAAGCCCCAAGTTAGTCTACTCCATCCTCTGCCTTGTACTGTAATAACCCGTGACTAGCCATGGTGGTCAGCCCGCCACCTTATCTGGCCCACGGATGTCAGACGCTCCATCAAGCAGCATTAGTTATACCTGCTACAATGGCACACAGGAACTTGAACAATGCTTAACGCAATCTGTTTCCGGATTTAACCCTCTTTCGAGTTGTGCCTCCTTGCACAACCCACCAACGCTTCACAGCCACAGCTCTCACTATGATCTCGTGTTAGGAGGTACCTGTACTCCTGCAATGAGGCATAACTACTGGCTTTCACAGGCATTCCAAATGTATGCCCTTCGTTATCATTATTTATCTCCTAATCACTCTCACACACAGGTATTATCCAGATGTCTACCCTGAAGTTCCTACCTCTGATTTTCGGCTGTATAACGAGCCGTCGCATCAGTGGCAGAATTCTGCCATGCATCAGCCAGGTCTTCCAAATGAGCTCCTCCCACCGATGAAACCTCCGCCTTTGGCTGCGGAAGCTTTGCAATTGAGATTTTCATCACAGGCCCGTGCAAGTCACGGTGGAATTATATGTTACCCCTCAGATCACCCGCCCATCGCCAACCAGCCATATTTGACCCCACTTCTCCTCCTACATTCCTGCCGATGGCTATATGATGACGCACCCTGCAAGTTCACAGGGACACTGGACGAGTTAAAGGCGCATTGTAAACGCAGTCATTTTGCTGGCCCCCCCGATGCGCAGATTGAATGCCGTTGGGAAGCTTGTACTTACCATAGGCGTGATGACCCCACGGTGCATGTCATGCGGCGCTGACTGCATGTGGCGCCACACTTACGAAGTTCATTTAGGGATGAAGAGGGGTACCTAGGCGTGTCCACTTGCTGTTGTATTTTTTTTTGCTTCAGATTGCAGTACTTTGGGGTCATTGACCCTATGTTGGACATTCGACTCGTCACAAGCTTTTTCTCTCGTTTTGTTTTGTTGGTTTAGGTCTAGTGGACGGACTCGTACTACTGTTGTATTTTTTTCCATCCTTGCGCTGCACCACCCACGCTATGCTATTTTTATTATCGTTGCTTTGTTCTTGTTAACGTTGATCATCCGTCGTGGATCTATTTTGAAATTCTAATAGTCTCCCCTAGCCATACGGCCCAGACCATATAGAAGGAAGGCAGTCGTTCCTTTTTATCATTATGATTTCTTGCAGTGGTTGGCATTATCACGACTATAATGAAAGAACGGACGGAATTTGGACCGAAGGATGCCCGCTGGCCCAGCAGTCTGTCACTAAACAAAGCCAATGCGGCTTAGTTGAATTCCTCGGTGAGGCTGTAAGGCGTTTACACTGCGTTTCTCTCGAGTTCTGCTATGGAATAAAATTGATTGGAAAAGCCCCTACGCAGTCTCCACTCTGTGACATGGCTGCGCAGGAGGCTCTGCGGGTACTGTGAATGGCAAGATGCATGGTCCGATTCTCTATAATTAGATGCGGCCAACCCAGCCGGTAATATTGACCAGGCTCAACATTAATATTGGCATGCATCACCATGACCTTGTGAACATTTACTCCACAGCGTCGGGTATGCTGTACAGTTACATGAAGAAAACCAGATAAGCAACGACGCCACCCCCGCATGAAATCAAGGTCTCAGTTTACCAGCAGCCTTGACAGCAGCTTCGCTTCTGTGTTCCTTGAGGTCCTCATACGTCATGATCTCACCGCAAACAAACTTGTTCTCAAAGTCCGAGCTATAAAAGTGTGAGAGAAGAGGTAAAATAAAAATAAAAAATCGGCATGCTGAATAACACCGGCCGCTTGGTATGCCTTTGTCCCCTTGCGAATCGTCCATGCACGCACTTCATCAGGTCCACAGGTAAAGTAGCGGATCAACTGTGACTCAAAAATTCGGATCAATGAACGATCAGCGACCAGAGGATGAGACCCACATCAAGACTGGAGTACCCCGCCTGTGTTATTGTTCCGAGGGCAGTCTGCGCTCCTAGTTCCTTTTGCGCCTCAACACGTTCATCGTCTGGAAGCTGCGCAAGACGCTCCTCCAGTGATACAGAGAAAGGGATGAGGGGGTCGCAGGGGTTGTAAGCGTCAATCCAGCCCTTGACAAGCCGTACCACTTGTTCTTCCTGCGAATATAGTCCTTCTCGCTAAGATTGACGAGGTAAGTGATAGGCTTGGCGGTTAGTAGGGTAGATGATAGTGGGTGTTAGCGTACGCAAAGAAGTAGCGAGTACATGGGGTCAGAGTGTCGAAAAAATATCATTAAAAGACAGGGCGTTACTCCCGCCTCAAAGAGCTGGGTTAATCGAGCTGATGCTCTTTTTCATTGCTCAAAATCGATAACGAGAATTTATTAGTTATCTGTGGAATGATGGTCAGCATGGTAAATGAAGGCCGTAGATGATGAAGAAGGAATCAGGAAAAAAATGTTATTTCAAAGGAATATTGGGGCGTTACTCCCTCCTCAACGAGCTGGGTTATCGAGCAAAGCTCTTTTTCATCGCTCAAAAGCGATAACAATAGTATCATATTTACCTGTAGGATGACAGTCAGCACGGTGGACGAAGATTGCTGTCAGCATAGTAGACGAAGATTACGACGGCAAGGAGGGAAAAAAAATGTCAAATGAATAGTGGGGCGTTACTCCCTCCTCGACGAGCTTGGTTATCGAGTAAAGGTTCTTTTCATCAGGGTACGAACCAAAATGCTGGCAAAAAAGATTTCTCAAGAACAAGACTTACCTCTTTATTATTCCACTCGTACTTCCTAACACCCTTGCCATCGACGGTAAGGACCTTATAGATTTTCTCAACTGTTGCCTGCAGCGTGAGTCCGCACCAGCTACACATCAAACATTGTTTCCAGCGAGACGCACGATTTTTTCCTTCTTAGCCTTATCCGCCAAACTGTTGTTGCCAAGCGATCGACCACTGCGCTTGAGGCCATCAAGGTGACCCACTCAATATCTATGAGACAAAGCTCGGTCTGAATGATCTCAATGTCACGGAGAGGGTCGACATCGCCCTCTACATGAATGACTTCGGCGTCATCGAAGGCACGGACCACCTAGAAGGTACCATCGACAGCGAGGACGTGAGACAAGAATGCATTTCTAAGTCCTGCACCTGTTGATGCGCCCTGAATATATGTCGGCGGAGAAATCAGGGTAGGTGGGTCATGGACGTACCGCAGTAAGACCTGCGATATCAATGCAGGTGAGGAAAGCAGGCACACGCGAGGCGGGCTTGTACAGATCGCAAAGCCAATCGAAACGCGCATCCGGCACGGGTATACGCGCTTCTTCTGGGTCGTGTGGAAAGTTGGCAGCCTTTCCCAAATCTAAGATATTTTAGACTCGGATGCGTGACTGCATAAGGCCGGTGTCGGATAGAACATTACGTACCGAGCAATGCTCTCGTTATGGTCAGCCTTTGCGTCGGTTATGAAATCCATGCTAGACTGCCTGTATAGTGGGTGGCGCTCAGGAGTGTTTGTGGTAGGTTGAAGTACGTCTGGTGAAGTATAGTTGCGCTCGAATCTGCCGGACGATGCACATTGCCGCTCCTCTATTGCTCTTGCACGGGCCAGGATGTCTGCTGAAGTATCGTTGTGCTCAGCACATTTACTTAAATCTACCGGACGTAACTTACACACCAGCTTCAGCCAAGATCACGTCGTCACCGTTAGCTCACATATGTATGTAGATAATTTCTCGATGCTCCATCCCCTTTGGAAGAACCTCCCGAAGATGTCTCGTGAACAGTGTTGTGGTACAATTGACTATTGCTCGTCAACTAGAAACTCTGCCCATACCTCATCCATGTGGTATAAAATACTCATATGCCCCCCATCAACGTGTTTGATCCGCGCATTCTTATAATTAGCAGCAAGATAGTATGCGTAAGCCACCGGAGACATGTGATCGTCCTTGCTTGCTGTAAGCAGGATAGGGGAACGAGAATGTTCTTCGTCCAATGCGTCAGGCCGGAAACCCCAATCCGAGTGCAGAAGGGGTGATGTTAGTATAAAGCCTGCCCAAGACTTGGAGATGCTTTTCATGGTATTCTTAGCCATTCTCCGCACCGTATCCTCTGGTACCATCCCGCGTTCCTCACTCCACTTCGCAAACTCCTCCTGCTCCGCCTGATCCATGATGTCAAAAACAGTTTCCCGCAACAATGCCTCTGCGCCTTCTATGGTTGCCAACTTTCTCGCCAGTACGAATTTCATCAGATGAGTGAGAAGGTTGAATGGTATGTAATACGCGATGGGGCCAGGTAGGATATAATGCGTCCACGTCATGTGTTTGGCGTAATCTTTGTGGTACCGAAAGGGGCTGAACGCACCCAACAACAACATGCCTGATATGCACCGGCCGAATGGGAACTTGTCATACGGTGCACCATACAATATCTGTGCAGGCACTGTACCGAACGAGCCCCCTGCAAGGTATAGTTTGATGTCACGGTCGTTGGAATCCGGATACAGGTGGGACAATAGCGCGGTCATGTCGCTTGTGAGGCAGTCGCGGTATGGTATCGACGGGGGAGGAGGAGATGTGTTGCCCCATCCAGGCAGGGTGGGCGTGATGAAATGAACATTCTTGCTCAGAAGGACACGAGATATCTGGGACGCATCCCCGATAGTGAAGAGACCATGCATGTAAAGAACGACTGTCTTGCTGGATAGATTTCCTGCTTCTGCGTATGCCAAGGTACGCCCATCTGGCAGAGGAAGAAATCTCTCCTCAGAGCTTATGTCTGTGGACATGAATTAAAGATGGTGGTGCTGACGGACATCGCAGCCTGACAACCAGTATTTATGCCTGTCAGCAGGCCGCCGGTGTAAATCGGAAAAGGAAACACTCCCCCCCGCAGCACAGGGAGGACAGGTGCCAGGCCCAGGTATTTCGATGAATAAAGCCAATACGCAGCGAACGTACAGAGCAGAGCTGCGCATGTCCTTCTCATGGGCCGCAGTTAGCCATTTCTAGGGAAACGAAACAGTTTTCAGCGCTAGCTGCGAGTCACAAATTTTAAATCAATGAAGTAACCAGGTCGTTCTGAAATTCTTGCGGCCTTGTGAAGGAACAAACTTTATCTGCGACGTGCGTCAAGCCAAGCAAAGTAGCTACAAGCGATCGTGGTAAAAGTCGGCTTGTTCTACTAGCCACGAGCTGTACGTCACAAAGTTGAGCATGCCGTCCTGCTACAAGATGACACATTCATATCTGTGACACGACTCTTGCGAGACCGTCTGTTGAGCCAAAGAAAGTGTCAGTGCGAAACTAACAGTGACAACTTATAAGTATCCGAGTCCGTACCGTACCGGACCGCGATGGCTTTCTCACCTTACCTAAGCGAGCAGTGCCACCGGTGTGGTACGTGAAGTGGAAGGGCGGCAGACGTGGTGGCAGAGAGCATCTGGAAGGCGGGAGTGTTAGCACGAAATCAAGTAGGGACTGTCATAGATAGGTTTTGAAATGCCAGGATGCGTCATGCGCGTCAAAACTGCAAGCAAGACGCGGTGTGGAACATGTTTGTTGAACTATAAACACTTTGCCCCGTTTGGGCGTTAGCGACGCTTGGCGCCAGACTGTAAATTTCCCACGTAGGACTGTCAATCTTTTGGCTGGCAGGCTTTGCCATAACTTGAAGTTCAGAGAGATCTGTTGTATCACGTGCGGCGTGAATTATTAGATTGCTCTCACTCAGACTGAGTCTCAGCTGCAGCACGTAGACTCAGAATTCTAAGTCCATCTCATGCTTTCCGACTCCGACACCGAAGATATCCAAACCCTCACCATCAATGAACACTACGCAAAAGCCTTCGAATACAAAAAAGAGCGCGAGGAGCTCGCAAAATGTACGTCCAAACATTCCTGACAGTCTGACGAGATCCAACTAAAACGTGACCAACAGTAAAAGAAAAATACGGGTCCGATTTTGAAGACGGTGCGGACGATGAGACAGATTCAGAGGATGCGGAATCCGAAGATGAGGACGGGGAGGAACTCACGCCTGCAATGGATGCAGCCATCCTGAGGACGCTAGCAAGAATCAAGAAAAAGGACCCGGCCATCTACAACGCCGAGAATACTATCTTCGAAGGTACAGTAAACCGTGTCTGTCCTCAACTACGCCAATTCTGATACTTGTTAGAGGAGCAGGAGCGCACCACTGTTCGTGCTCCCCAGGTGCGAGAACGAACAACCAAGAATAAAGTGGGTATTCGGATCACGAATACGACCTTAAACTCAGTCTCTCTCGTTCATAGTCAAAACCTCTCACTTTCCGACAAGCAACTCTCGCATCCGCTCTCGAAGCCAACTCCTCCCGTTCGCCGACTCCAGAACCACACATACCCACATACACCGAGGAGCAGCGTCAACTGCGTGACGAAACACGTACCGCATTCCATGCTGCTGCTGCTGAAAGCGATGACGATGAATTAATTGTCCCGCGAGAGAAAACCAAGGACGAGCTCGAGGATGAAGAACAGGAATACAAAGAATACTTGAAGCATGCGGTCGGTATGGACCTCGAGAGTCTCATAGAGGCCGAGAACGTTGAACAAGGCGCCAATGAAAAAAAGAAGAGCAAGACGAAGAAAAGCGGTAACGAGGCGAAGGGAATGTCCAAAAAAGAAGCCGATCAGGAGTTCCTCGTAAGGTCAGTCGTGTTTCTGCATGAGTCGAGTCACTGCTAAACCCCCTCAGTTATATTCTCAATCGTGGATGGATCGACAAATCAGCAAAACGACTACCCACGTATAATGACATTGTGGGCAAAGCCAAAGACTCCGCGGCTGAATCAGATCAAGGTAGTGTCGCGGTCGAACAACAGGGTGCATATGAGCACAGCATAGAAGACGACGACGAATTCGAAGAGATCGCCGACGCTTTCGAGACTTCCTACAACTTCCGTTTCGAAGAACCGTAAGTACCGTCGCGTTGTCCACTTCATCCTACTTTACGCCTTTCTCCTACCAGGGACGCAGCTACTATCAAATCCTTTCCACGAAATATCGCCTCTACAGTGCGTCGGGTTGACACGACTCGCAAAGAGGGCCGTGAACGGAAGAAGCGGCGCCAGGAAGAAGAGCTCGAGAAAAAGCATGAGGAGGTGAAAAGGTTGAAAGCCTTAAAAATGAAGGAAGTTCGCCGGAAACTCGAGCGCATCGGGCGCGAAGGTGGTGTCAATGCTGAAGGTTCGTTATACTTGTTACCTCATTCTTATTTTGACGCTAAAACCATGTAGCCTTCGAGGAGTTCGACCTCGATGCGGACTGGGATCCCGAAGCACATGATGTGCAAATGGCGGGACTCTACCACGATGGCGAAGACTCTGATATTGACGCTGATCAAGAGAAGCCCGTCTGGGACGACGACGTCAACATCGACGACATTATACCTTCCCAGCCCGCCGAATCCTCGTCGTCTTCGAAAAAGAAGAAGAAAAAGAAGAAAAAGAAAGACAATGACGACGACGACGAAGGAGTGGATATCAATACTATGGATGCAGATGTTGTGCGCGAGTACGATGAAGAAGAATGGGATGGCACTGAGGAGATGAGGAAGCGCAAGCTTGATGAGTACATGGATGAAGTTTATGGGCTCGACTTTAACGACATGGTGGGTTTCGTCGTGTCAGCTTTCTAGAAATTCGCATTCACGTTTTGTCGCAGGTCGCAGGAATACCTACACGTTTCAAATACACTACGACTGCACCGCAGACGTTCGCACTCACCCCTACCGAGATCCTCATGGCCACAAACAAGGAACTCAATCAATACGTGAGCGTGAAGCGCTATGCACCGTATCGCGCGGAGAAGTGGGACCGTAACCGCGGAGAACGCCTCACGGAGTTCAGGGAGAATTTGAAACAACGAGTAGGGGCCACCAGGACAAGCCACAGAAGCGAGGATCCGACACCGAAAAAAACGGCTGGGGAAGAAGGAGCGACAGAAAATGAAAGCAGCAGCAGCGTAGTATTCGAGGAGGATTTAACTACTGGCGTACCCAAGGGAGTTACTAGTGAAAAGTCGCAAACCACTTGCCCGCATCATGATCAGACTCGTATCAAACCCTGTCTGCTATACTATAAGCTGACCGTTTTGCGCATGCGTGGACCGTCGTCAACAATAGCTGCTTGAGATCCTTCTTGAACGTGTTTGTCTCCATAAAATGTACTTACATCGTGCATGCCAGGGACAACGGTGCGGCATCTGCCGTGGTGCACTCATTTCTCTGCCATCATGTCCGGTACTCAGTATATCCCTCACATACTATACTCAACCGCTTTGACCTCAATTTCCATGCACTTGCTGTGGCAGCGAAAAACAGCTGACGAAGACCGAGCGAGATTCAAAGCTCAAACTTCCATTCTGCAAGACCTCATCGAGCAACTTCGTTCGGGAAAGTCAATATCCGACGAAGAAGTAACGAAGTCGCGTAATCTTGCGCGTATACACGGAGAGGGGAAACAGCCGCTCGACAAGGAAAGAACTAACATTGGATGGATGGACGTGTTATGGGGCCGAAAAACGCCTGCAGACCTTGGTGTTAGTGACGAATGGGAACGAAAAGATCTGGAGCAAAGTGAGTCGCTCCTGCTGTCACACAGCATCCAGCTGACTGGTCCGCAAAGTACGGAAAGAAATCGAAGCAGAGCATTGATACATTTTCCGAACTTCTTGCTTGGTGAGTATCGTCCAAGTGTCTTCTACCTGTACATGCAATATACACGGGCCAATAAATTTACAGTGTATGTGCCTACACGAACCAAGATGAAATATCGTGCGATTACTTTCTCCTGCGAGCGCATATTCTTATACCTGCGGATGATCGTATTGTGAATCAACGAGAGAAGCCTAGTGTCAAAAAACGTCTTGCAGCGTACCCTAGGAGGAGGGGGCTCCGGGCGTCCTTCCATTTGCGTGCTGACCATTCTGGGCAGACTCAGTAAACGCAGAGTTTGAACGTACGACAGCCACTCACCGTGTTGGAGGTGCCATTTGCGTTGGCATTCTTCTTCTTCTTTCCCGCGGGATTCTGCAATGTCGGAACCGAGCTTCCCGTGGTGTCATTAACTCCACCTGCGGGACCTCCATTAGCGGCAGTCTCTGGTAGCTCAGTCGTCGTTGAGGCGCTGGTTGCGTGGGGGAGATCAAAAATCTCGCATATGAATCTTCTGACGTCTTCATCCCCGGCGTGCGCACTCGTTGGAGAACGGCATCCATCCTCTGCCGCCTTCTGCAATGCTCTTTCCCTCACCATGGTGAGCTTGAGAATCGTTTTCATGTCAAGCTTTGCAGCTTCTGAAAGAGGAGGGAGGGTGGGACTCTTTGCCAATGTCGAGTATGATGGTATTAGAAGTTGGGCATCGATCCTGAAGTCGGAATAGATCTTGATCTTGTCGATAGGTTGTAGGTCGAGTTTCTCGAGCTGACGGACGACCAGCTTCCGCACCTTACCGAAGCCCCACCGCGTTGCAAGCCCTAAGATCACCAGCCACTTCTCAAGTGGCTGGTTTTCGTATTCGAAGTCTCTAGAAGGCCACAGATTTCAGTAACGACGTCAATGAGCATTGCGTGGGTGCGCTACGACTCACTCGTCGTAGAACACCCACAGGAAGTGGGCAAAATCTTCAGGTTTGACATCCAATGTATAAGGCTTGGTGTTAGCACTATCGGAAAATATTTCTCTGAAAGAGCTTGGTTCGCGCTCGAAGAAATAACGATGTACTTTGAAAAGCACGTTTTGCGCCTGGATGAAGAGAAAATTAAATCATTCATCAGCGCTTCATACCCAAGGGCCTCACTAAAAATTGAGTGTCCCCTGTGGGGATGAAGTATTGAGGATGATTGATAATTTGTGAAAAGCCGGTGTCTGACATATTGAAAGTGTTGAGTAGGAAATTGATGATCGTGGGGTAAAGAGTGCTGGTATGCCGTCTGATTCAATTGTCGTTTATACTTATCTGCTTTTCAAGCGCTGGTGACGCATCGAACATCAATGCATCACTGCTAGGCCGCCATGAGACATCAGATTGCTCGTTATAGTTTCATCCCGCAGTCCTAGCGACTGCCGACGTAATGATATTGTGTGGCCTCGCCTACAGGAACGACAAAGTACATGTGTTATGTACAATAAGAGTACAAGGGATGCCCGCACGGATCTCTGTTGCCGGAGAAGCCAAGGCTTCAGATCACCCGAAATTTAGTAATGAGGGGCGAACCGAGCCCACGAGGCTCCTCGAGGCAACAAGATATACTTACGGAATGTTCTGGCCGCACCAAAAGATCCACGATCAAGGACCGACCATTCAATTAGTCCGCCACCGAGCACACACAATTGTCTCCCTCACGCGCGTGGATCATTTGCTGATCAAGACGTTTTTGATACAAATAAAGAAACATTGACTCGAGGAATGGCAGACAATGGAAACGACAGAACTTGAGAGTCAGTCTTTTTGAAATGGAAACGGAGGAAATTGCCAAGCGCCAACATTCTACTCTCCAACTTGTGGAACTTAATTTTGCTTCTTGCCCTTGGTTGCGCCTCCCCCACGCCCGTTACGCTTCCCTCCGTTGCGACCGCCTTAGATGAAATTGATTTGTGAGATGTACATCGTACTGATATTACCGCCATGCTCACCTCGCCCGCCGCCGCGTGTACTTTCGCTATCGGACTGCACACTAGAGGGGTCAATGTCCTTGGTTTGACTTTCATCCTTCTCAGCATCATTTTCGTGGTCGATAGTTTTATTCTCATCGTGACTCTTAACATCAATGGGTGTTGATACAACAAGCTCAACGGTAGGGGTGACAACGGTGGTGGAACTATGAGAACCAGCTTTTTCCTCCTTTGGGCCCTCCTGCGATACCAACAATGAGCCGTAGTCAGAAAAATATAAGCACAGGACTCGCCACTGATGAAGGCTCACCCGTTCCGTTTGGTTTGTAGGAGCCAGCCTGGAATGGTTCGGTAGAGGGGAATACAGTGGAAGAAGTGTTCGTCTGCTCAGGCACTTTGGCTTTCTCCGGCGGCGAGGGCTTGTTCTCATGCACTGAGGCAGCCGACTTCGGACCAGCATTTTGCGACGAAAAAACGGGTGTATTTGTGGAAGAAGCCGAAGAAGTGGATGGCGATTCCTGGGCAGTGCCGTACGTCTGCGTGGAGTCGACGGAGGAACGAACAGTCGGGTCGGAATTGGAAGAACCGTTGGGACGGATTGAGGAGCCGCCATTGAGTTTGGCTGCCGTCGACCCGTTGGCTTTGGTTCCGTTGACTTTCGTGTTGCCTGTGGAGGCCGAGCCATTGGTGTAGGTAGATGAAGTACTGGTCTGCGGAATCGGCGATGTTGGTCGCGACGTTATTCCGAAAACCTCCTTGACCATGGACTCCATTTCACTGTCATCGAAATCGTGATACGAAGGCGAGCGGATTCCACTCTCAGCAGCGCGCTGGCGAGCCCGCTCGCGAGCGTCTGCGACACGGAGAACGGTCTCCATCCCAAGCTTTATACCCTCAGTAAATGTCAAAGGTTTGTCCCTCTTGCAGATCGCGATGTACGCTGGGATGAGGGAGAGCTTGTTGATACTGTACTCGTGATAGATTGCGATCTTGTCAACGGGTTCTATCGAAATTTTCTCGAGTTCACGCACAGTGAGCTCCTTGACATTGCAGAAACTCCACCGGTTGGCGAGGTGTAGGATACTCAGCCACGTCTCAAGAGGCGCCTCATAGAGCGAATATTTTCTATTCACGACTGTCAGGATGTCTGGTTTGAGCAAATTAAATGAAGTTGACATACGGGTTGTAGAAGACCCAGAGGAAACGTGCAAAGTCTTCGCTCTTGACGTCGTCCAAGGTATAGGCATTGTTGTCCGATGAGCCGCGCTCCTCGCCTTCAGATGACTGGAACTTCTGGCGGAAGAACAGCGATTCGCGTTCGAAGAAGTGACTGTGTATACGATAGAGATGATTTTCGACCTGCGAAATTCGAAGTTCCATCCATCAATCCGAGGCGTTGAGTATCATAACGACCGTTAGACACTCACCAGTACGGTCATATCACCACCACGTATATAATAATCCTTGTGATGGATGACACGAGCCAATCCGTGCTCTGATGAGTTGACCATGAGTGACTTTACCTGAGAGATGAGAGAGGGAGGAGGAAGGTGGAAGGGCTTGGGTTCAAGAGGAAATTTTCGAAGGAAGTCAAGATATACGTTTCTTGAATCCAGGTCCAGTGTTAATTATCAGATCAACTACACGTGTTCTGCGCGTGTCGTCCATTGTTCCCTCGTCCTTTTATTCCTATCCAATTGCTTAGCCTGAAAATCGATTGCGTAAATATCATCGTTGTCCATTGTCCGACGATGTTGTCCAAATATTGATGTTTGGGAGTCGCTTGCGCTATTGCACCACAATGATGTCAAATAAACACCGCTGAGTTACGTGCGATGTCGGGAAGCAGCGCGCTGCAGGTGAGTTGGATGACATCCCAGGGACCCGATGTTTTGAACTGAAATTTTCTCAAGAGCATGAGCGCTCCGCGGGAAGCTCTGTCAATTTCACATCAAATCAACACAGGATTCGTGATACACGCAACTTGCGGATCAATCCTCAGCGCTCAATTTCGAGGTTCCTGCCAGTCAGACTGCAAAATTTGCCTCAAGGCAAGCTGTGATGACTCGGATGCACCACAAGGATGACACAGGAACTGCATTCCAGCTGGGCTTTTTCGTACGTGAAATGTCATGTGGGGCGTACGCAGTTCATACGACCCACCTTTAGGCAACACGAGGTCAATGCATAATAGATAAGGCCGCAGGTGTACGTCAAGGATTATCCATCATGCATCTTAAACCCCATGGCTCCGCATGATGTTATCCATTCATCGCGTTTCGGGCAGCCGCAGCAGCTCGCTTGTTCTCGCGGTGAATCAGTGAGTCATAAAGCAGGAGGCTATGTTGCGTCACTGATTCTAGGCTGCTATTGAGTCTAAATACGCGGAGCATCTGTGTGGACGCAACGGGCCGAAATTTAGAGACTCTGAGTATTGCGGATCTATGCTTGTTAAACCATGCGGGCATGCCAGAAGGAGTAGACGAGCACTGGGCTGATCTGAGGTCATAGAGGACCGATCCAAAGACCCCGGACGATCCAATAGATTTCCCCAATACTCAGTTATGCATGACTATGGTATCAGTGCTAGTCTGCTGCTCGAATGATTGCTCGAAAGTGGTAAAAGTATCCTTCCCGAGGAATGGCGAATACTACACGATCAAACGAATGCCGGTATCGCGCACCTTTCACCGTCAATAACTCTGCCCAGATCTTCGCAACAACTTTGATATCGTTTTGGAATACCCCCGTTCCAAAACTGCCCAAGACGATGTTCTTAGCACCCTGCTGTTCAAACAAGAACAAAATGCGCGCCATCCTTTCTTTCATGACAGATTCGATGGGCTCCTCGATCTCCGCAAGCTCTGACTTATCTCCGATCTTCTTCCTCACATCGCCAGCATTTACAGCTGCGCTTGTTAGGACATCGACTTCAAAAGGCGACGCCCAATTCCCTGCATCATCCTTCAAGATCACGACAGAAGGTGTGTATACCATTGCGTGATGATAAAACCCTCTGTTTCTATCATGGGTATGTAGTTGGTAGAAGCGCTGCGCGCTGTCCAGTCATTAGAGAGGGATAAAGCGTAGATGATCGGGCTATAGACTCCTCTTGAGCTTGTGCCCCATTCAAGAAACCGCCTCCAGGTCGTGTAGCAGATGCAAAGTTCAAGATTGCTATTCGGCCGAAGCTCGTGGAACGAGATGAAATGGTATTGAACAACAATCTGGCACCATCAAGTGTCGAAATCTCGAGGATAGACACCTCAGATTTCGCTGTGGGATTACGTGGTGGGTCACTGGTGGACCAGGTGGACAACAAATAATCTGGAGCATAGTAGCGGGTGTTATGATTGGAGAAGTTGACTTTGGCAGCGAGATCATAGGAAACAGTTGGCGATGGTGACTGTGCCATTCTCAATCGCGTCCATCGTGCTCTGCGCGATTTCTTGAAGTCGATTGCGCCGATCTCCACCATTGCGATGACCGGCTTTTGGAAATGCAAGCTTTGTTTGAACGCTCATCGCAGTTATTACTTAGAAAGTGTATGACGGTCTCCTATTCAAAACTTTTTTCATCTTTGCCTTCCATTTTTGGGGTGACCGGCCGATGACCGGTATGTTCAGCAAATATTTTTAATTGTCCCCCCACGACACCTGCTGAGGATGACTTCCGTGTCAGGTCCGAGCATCGGGCTTAACGATGCTCTCGACTTTTCACAATGAGGTACAAGGCTGTTTATATGCATCTAGGTCCGACACATAAACGCCGTCGTAATTTGCCTACTACCATCATCACTCTCACGTTTCAGATTCAAACGCACCTCAGGCCACGTACGAGACAAATCTCAACATGCTGTCATCCCTTGAACCCCTGGAGGAGGTAAGCATACCCTTATATATTGTAGTAAGGCCACACAGTTAAGCTAAATTCGTGCAGAGATTCAGACAGGTAGAAGAAGAAAGTGAGAGGAGGGCCATGCAAGAACAAGAAATGTCGGCAAATGAGCTAGTTGGCCCTGATTTAGTCGGTTCAAGCAGGCGGGGACACCAACGGAAGAGGAGCTCTGTGTCGGTTTCACGATTCGGCCAGGTACGGGTTATTCGCCTACTATGTGGACCATGCATAATTCAACCTCAATAGCCTTCAAACAACAATAGCGCAAGTAGTTCCACTTCACCCACACCTTCACTACTTGCTACTGTTGCCCACAAGTCGACATTCTATCATTCATTAGCAAACGTAAGTGACCTTTTGTTTGTGCCTGCTATTAGGAGCATTTCCTGATCGGAATTTTCAGCCCAGAAGCATGGACTCCTTCATTTCCGAAGGCTCAGAAGAGGAATCTCACCATTTAGAAGACGACCAGCAGGTGACACAAGTCGAACAAATACATGGCCGTCAGCCTTTCCAAAAGACAGTTGAAGCCATACTACCCCGACGTATGTCTCGGTCGCGCTCATCAAACGTACTCTCGCCGAGCACGCACCTGGTCATTGACGTCTCTGTCGAAAAGGCAACAGTGGATGCTGGATACGCGCGCTCTGAGGAGATTCACACCACCACCATCCACGCAACCAAAGCAGGAGAGCCACGCCCTAGAACGTCTCGGAGTATTAACTGCACTTGGCGCCAAGCCACTGTCAAATGGGCTAGTAGAACGGGCGAAATGTTTCGCTCGTAAATTCGGGCGGAAGAAAAAGCCCGAATCTGGATGAGATGAAGTGGATGTTGTGCGCCCAGCTCTTGAGCGCTCTAGCTGTCAAGGAGACTTCGGAATGTAATGGACCTAGTTTGATGATCCGAGCAGTTGCTATGCTTCATCGGGGACTAATGATAACCTTGAATTGCTCATTACAAAAACTTGCATCAGATTTTCTTTCGCGTACACGTACATCCATGCAGGATATGATTTCATGAATGGATTGAGCCAATCATCATTCAGTCGCCTTTGCTCCGCTGACAATTATATTGGTTCTTCACGTGAGTTCAGTTTCGTGATTTACGTGCTTCGAGATCGATTCCCTTCCAATTCTGAATTTATAATTAGATCGAATCGTGCGTCACCGGGGCATGCAAGAGCATAATTCCGTGCGCTCATAAAAGCAAAGCAACATGATAGGCGCCAAGGATTCTTGTACTCGCAATCACCTTTCTATCATTTTCCTGGGATCAGCGCCAAATGAGCTGCGTTCGTACTTCAAGTCCATCAAATATGCACGTATCATCCCACAGACGTATTGTGGACAAATGCACCCCACGGGACAAGTACGCGAGGACGCACGTACCTCTAAAGAATTCATTCATCTCAAGCTCTGATGATTTGAGTGTAAAGACTGTGGGTCTGCTGAAACTTATCCCAGTTGTCCTGTATTGATTAGATCCTGCAGCCAAGCCCACCTTGGGTCCACGCGTATAACTCACGACAACGATCAGCAGTCTTCCGCAGATACACAAGGCTGGAAGCATCTGCCAACTCCCATCCGACCAACCTTCCGCCCGCGTGATTACGCATCACCGCCCACTGCGGATGATGTCTCCTCCGAGACCCACACGAACACTTTCAAAGTCCTACACCGCTCGTTACATAACCTTGATTTTGATCCATCTTGCCTTGATCGCCTCGATGAACAGCTTCTCCTTTCGCCTACTGAGTCATTTGTCGACGTATGTTACTCTGAAGCTGTTCACGACAACGATATTCCTGTTCCTAAGCTCCAACCCATCCAACCTCGTGTACGTAAAGGCACGAGGCTATATGACCGTACAGCTGCCACTGATGAAGACCCTTTCCACGATTGGGATGAAAATTACTCCGTCAAATTCAAGAAGGGTCGCAAAAAACCAGTGAGTCCTTTCCCACTTGTCATGCGACTCCTACTGATTCCTGAATGTTCGCGCAGTTGCCCTCACCTCCGCTCCCACAACTGCCCGAAGCATCACCTCCCAGAACGAGTCACCAGGACTCGATGCTCGCTCTTCTGGAGTCACATATCCTATATCACAATCCCAACGAATCTGTTCACTTTTTCCCAGTTTCTACGCAACGCTACAGTGGGGAATCGCGAAAATCCTCTCTCGAAGCTCCCTCCGTCACCTCCGTGGGGTCGAATGGCAGATTCAGACGCATTTCTGATGCACTGACCGGCCGTTCTCGGAGACCCACTGCTTAAAACCCCGCCGGCTTCATGAATGTAAAACCATCATTTCAGCTTTTTTTTGATCACTCGACACAAGCGGCATGCCGTTACACCTTCGTTCCCTGATTGATATATCTACATTAGCCTAATCGCATGCGGCAGGAACTCCATTTGCGACCTTCATACCCTCTGACGTTATTCTAATTTTCATACATTTGTTTGTTTTATAGCAGTGTAGTATTTTGGATTTCTTATCATCTCATGACAAACGACTGTTCAAATTTACTACACAGTCGTCTCTTCTTATCTTGGTCGCTAGATACGATGGATCAGTGACGTACCGTTCAGCGTCGATAGCGCCTCGAATGAAATAATGATCCTTAAAACATGACATAGGGCCGCGATTCTCGAGTATCTTACCCAAGTCTTACCTCATGATTGGTCGTTTGGTCGGCTACCCGGTGTTATGGTGGAAGTTTGACTATGCGACTTTCAAATACGGATTTGCCTCGGTTTTACACGGGTGAATAGTTTATTGTTTTTCGCGAGGGCGTAAAACGATGCCTATTCCGCCCAATATCTGATGGCGGCCGACAGCTGAAGTAACGGCATATGGGAGTCGAAGTCGAGGAACATGAGTCAGTGACATTCGGACGACGTGGATATATCATTCGAAGTACCGACTGGCTACGAGAAGCACCGAGAACAAGAACATCCATAAATACCCTGGTCCCTCGGGAGTCGGGAAGAGGAACGCGGAGAGTAAAGTTTAATTCTCGTTCAGTTGGTCTCCAACGGAACATTTGAATATGTCATGATGGGACAGACCTCGTGAGTAGTTATGGGGGATACAGACATTAAATACCATGACAACTTGAATTCTAGGCTGGCCTGGCTGGCTTCGTGCCCCTTCGTGCTCGGGAGCACCACGCCTATCAACACCTATCAACACCCTGTGGGAGCCTGTGGGCAAGAAGTTAATGACGGAATAGGCTACCAACGGCTTGGTGCTCCTTGGTTGCTATAGGTTCCTATCCAAATGGTTTGCTTGGGAATTTTTGCCGGCTCGAGGCCGATCATCATTGATGTATGACCCGAGGTAGATAATCTAAACCAGGACTTACCCGCCAACCATCCTTTTTATTTTGTCCTGAGAGCTGCAGGAATGCTACAGTCGAGATGCTCCGCTTGCTCCTTTGATAAAACGGGTGGCACAAGGAAAACTAGTAGTGGAAAATATTGTGGCTGGTGATGATCGATGAGCATTGTGTATCACAAGCTCACTTACCACCACTATTACAATGCTACCCTATTCTTGCAGTTGACAGAAGCGATAATCCACGGTTGCGGATGGTGATATACCGCAAAGAGAGCTAGTGAGTGCGCCCAGGTTGCTTGCAAGTTAGAAAATTTCTATAGATGGTAACTTAGGCCCGGGGTCAAATGTCAAGTGGGGTTACATAGGCGCCCGCCCGTCTGCCCGATCAGTTAGACTGATCGCATATTGCAAGAACGCCGCAACCTCTTAACAACATGTCTACTATAGTGAACATACCTTTCGATCTTCTGCAGCCTATTCTCATACATTTACCTGATCGAAGGCATCTGAGTGCAGCTACACTAGTCAGCCGGGCATTCAACTGCGCAGCGACCCCACTTTTGTACAGGAGGCTCGATTCACGAGTGAAGCGAAATGTGCGATTACTCTTTATCTCGCGAGTAAGTGTCTAAAACTATGTTCACTACAATCAGATCCTTCATCATCCCTCTGCAACCCTTCTCAAACGACCAGAATTGGCACAGTATGTCTGGCATGTGACGGAGACAGGCAAGTGACGTGGTTCCAAGACTTGTAAATTGGCTTGATCGCCCCCACTACACAGGCGCAGTGCAGAACTTGCGACAAGTTATTCCTCAGATCACTGAGGATATTGTTGCAGCGCTTAGACTTTGTACAAATCTCACATCTGCAACTTGGGTGGACGACACGGCGACTCCAGAGGCGAATTTTCTACCCATACTGGATGTCTTGATGACATTACCCTTGCGGGAGCTTACCATACGCACCCAGTATGATCCAGGAGAACGAGTTTGGGCCCGGCTCAATACTATTCAGGGCATCCGTCGCCTATCAGTGTGGTCTTTGGAGTGGGGCCCCCCGCGGGTGCTTCAAGGATGGGCTCATTTGTTGAGCTCCTCTCTAACGCACCTCGAACTTGGCGTAAGAGAGCCTTTGATTTACCTCTTTGTTTCCTTATTCCATTCACAGCGTTGTGCAGGTGTTCCCGCAACTATCCTCGTCTCTGTCTTCATGAAACTTCCTCTTTTACAAGAGCTCTGTCTCAAGGGTGCACCAAGCGCCGCCATCCCGGCTATAATTGCTTGTCTGCCCAATCTGATAGCCCTTGACACGGAATATCTAGGCTCTGGAAATTACCGCACGCCTCTCACACCGTTACCCCCGTTTGCAACGCCTAACAGTTCAAGCAGGATCAGTGGATATCGATGGACCGCAGAAACTATGGACATGGATGAGGATATTGCTTCCACACCAACAAACTCTAAAGTCATTCACGCTAAATGCATTTGCAGTGCACGGCCAAATAACCATTCCGCGCCCATTCATCGTGAATCTTACTGACAGACACGGAAAGTCCCTTCAAGATTTTGCTGTGGGGCTTGCGCAGTTGACGTTAGAAACCGTATCCTATATGTGTTCAACATGCCCCCAGCTTTCGACACTTGAATGCTCTGTGGCGAGTCCAGACGTAGTATGTGATTCTTGTTAGTATTGGGAAGATAAATCTCCGGTTAATTGCTGATGTGTTTAGGATTCAATCGCAAAAGCAATCGAGGCGGGGCACAACCTTCAAACTCTCACGCTTCATGTCTCTTGGATCCCTGATGGCAGCGTTGATTTACCTCCGCGGTTTGAAAAGCACTCAGGACCCCGAGCCATGTATGCAGATTTTTCCCATCTTTCCAGTGAGGGGAAGGCGACTCGTTTTACCGAGGAGCACGCTCGCGCCTTGATGTTCCAGACACGCCTTCGTAGCATTGGCATAGGGGATCAGTCCTACACAGTGAGTCTATCCTGTGCTTGTTGCGCGCCTTGGTATTTGGACTTTGACTTGGTTGTTGAAAGTTGTCAACATTCTCATCTGTCTTTTTTAGGGTCGGTGGGTTCATCGGGAATGTTCCGCTGAGGTCGGGAAAGAAGAAAATGTTGTGCTAGAGGTCGTAGGGGATCCATTCGTCTAGGTTTCTTGTCACCTGTCACACTGTATTCAGATTGCTTCCATGGCCTATGTGCCATATCACCGAGCGTACGTTGGTGAGCTGAGGGCAGCTTCAGGCTATACTAAGCATACCACTTCTGGAAGAAAATAACATCTATATCTGTCATTGGGTGGGGTATGCACAATTTTGACGAATCCACTTGTCTCTACTCAAAATGGCGGAATGACTACTTGTTTATGGAGTGAATACAAGAGGCAAAGTTGTGAAGATGTAAAATACGAGACGCGGTTGAATCCACAACCAGATCCAGTACTCCCCCACACTTCATGATAGTCAATTCTTCCTGGTCGTCCCACTCCCCGTGTCCACACATATGATCATCCCATGAGGCCTCGTGAGTTTATGGTATCCAGAGCCTCGAGAACGACATAGGCGACCTAGTATAGGTAGTGAGTGCAATATACCGTAGGCGAGACATGAGGCATGGCTTCAAACAAACCTTGATGTTGACTGGGAACAATCCAGTACAGCTGGGGAAGCAGGTAACATTATGGCGCGAGAGTGGTATCTCATTCGTCATTCAGCAGCTCTGAGTCCAGCAACGATAGTTCGAAGTCTTGACGCCAGAATCCTCGAAGCAACAATCTAAATTTGTCGGGTCCCACTCCATCTGGGAAGCCGAGAAACGGAAGGTTGCGGATGCAGCAACCTTGTGAGGTGCGCACAACAGGTAGAGATAGGGGTACAACATCAAGGCATCGGCGAGAGACACATCGTGAGAAGCCCCAAAAGGCATTTTGATCGCGGCGGCTTTTGGTCATAAATGCTTGAACCTGCTGTGACTTGCCGTGTGTCCATAATTTGTCATGGGGGTGAGAGTGCGTGTTACTGGTGAAGAATTTTGAGCGTGATAGCGTGTACGTGCACCTCCTTCCATAGGTTCAGGGATAATAGATGGATTGGGCATGATGGAAAACCTTGGAGGCATGAACATTGAGTTTTGATCTGGAAAAAAGTTAACGTCCAACGAAATGGGAGCATTGCCAGATGGTGAGTCGACATCAGTCGCATCAGAGTCACAGGCATGCGATGGAACTGAAACTGGAGTTGTGAGCTCTCTCTTCAAGTAGCCGGCGGTACCAACGAAAGCTTGCACGTCTTGTTCGGTAGTGGTTGTTCCACTTTCTTCGCCTTTGATTTGCAAGCCCAGAACCAGCTGTCGACGCGCAGTGGACTTATGTTCCACGAGGCGGCCCATGCATATCGCGACGCACGCATTGGAATGCGGGAGTCAGATATCCAGATCGCCCAAAGCTCTTCTAGGTTGGCATGGAGTTAGGTCTGGGATGGGGGCTTTCTGAATCATACATGCATACCAGGAGGGGAGAATATAATCTCGACAGGTTTTGTTGTAGCCGTGGTCTGCAGCGTTGAGGATGGGACGCGCACCGACACTGAGTACCGAGGGGGCAGACCAGGAAGGACATGAACGTCGCGTACTAATTACTAATGAGGCAACTGCTACGGCAACTGCCGCATGCTCCCAAACGGTGAGTGCGCATCACTACACTGTTATGTACCTCCCAGTACTTGCCCTCCAAACGAGCCATGGATTCGAGCGTGCGCCAAATCCTTATATTTATATCCATGCCCGCAAAGTCACGGTCAGGCGGTATCGTCAAGATTCATACAAGTACTCCGGTCTGCAAAGTCAGGTCTTCCATATCATAATTGTTTCAACGACTGTCTTCTTTGTCACTAAGTCATCTTTTATATTACATTGTAGTCTGATTCCTCTGCATACAATGTTATTTTTCTTTCTTCCGAACGAGTGACTGCACAATTGCGGGCATCATCTCCGAATCAAGACCCGGTCAGTGCCACCGTGACCTTTCTTCGCTTCCGAGGTCCCGACATGTCTTGCTCGACATTGTCGCTGTCACTCAGTCTGGCACGCGCTAGGGTGATCGTTATGGAACTAGGACCGTTTCGAAAGTCAGAAAGCATAGCACCTCAAGCTCATTTTCATCATAATCGTGATTTCATTCATTGCGATCCTCGTGGTTCTAGTGGGATGGAAACCCAGCATATGAGTCCCAACCATGTTGATGGTTCCCGTCATCTAGGCCCCACTGATAGTTTCCTGCAGAGCACGACTGAGCCAACTTCTCAAACAGGCGCTGTTCGAAGACCGATAGACATTCCAGGTCAACGTCCGTTTGGATCCCGTCTATGCTTCTGCCAATCTGCTTCAAAAGGGCCGTCCATGCAGCCTCGAGAACGAATTCTTCCTGGGCGTCCGTGGTGCCACCTCTGGGGCAGTCGGGATCCTCCTCCGATATGCTGCGCTTGTTGTATGCGAACATGATGCTGAGTGCGTGAGCAAATGCCGCGCAGCCTAACTATTGCACCCCAGTTTCTTGCGCCTTTTCGATATTATCAAATATCCAATGGGCGACATAAATTAGCATGGGTATTTGATATCTGACTTGGCGTGGGCAGTGATAGGTGCCCTGTTCTGCGTTAGTGGGTCCTTTGGGGTGGCAGGTACATACCTTTATTTGAGGTGGACGTTCCTCTAGGAGACGCTTTGTTTGCGGTTGCAGGACAGCAGCAGCTGATGCAGCTAATCTAAGAGGGGCCATGTTTGTATTTTGAGGAGCATCCGGCTTGGCGGCGGCGGCCAGAACTTCTTGCCCATTACCGATGACTGGCTGGGTTGCTGGGAGTGGGTGGGTGAGCTGCACAGTCTCCAATTGATTGGTGTGTGCGTTGCTGAGCCTGGCTAGATCACGAGCTGAAGGGGGGAGTGAGCTTGATGGTATGTTAAAATTGATGATGATGTATCGGGATGGGGACGAATGGTAAGATGTCAGCGTACTCCCTGCAGCAGGCAAAGAGCTCTGCATGGACAGTATTGGTGCGTCAGGGGTGGGTGAGACACAACCTTGGCAGGCCGCAGCTACTGATGGTTGGAAATCTGCGCGAGTACATGATGTCCACAGCCCTGATACTATTTCTGCCTTTCCAGTCACTGCTGACTCCGTCTCGCGTCCTCAGACAAGTTTTTTCTTCTGTTTTTCTCCCTTGTGATTATAATCATACTTTGCACAACAACTCTCGTCGCAGTGTACCCTCATACTTGTTCCCCTCGCACACCTGCCACTGCCTTGCATGTAGGTCTCTCCCTTATTTCTTTCCCTTGTTATTTTACTAATATAATGATATTCGTTTTCAGTGTGTAGTTCGGTGCTGTGATGTGCTTTAGAAGGCATGGGAAAAAGTGAATGATGTTCCTTCACCTTCATTCCGTCGCTACTCATTCAATTTTGTAGCAACCTTGGTGTTATTTTTTGACGAGTTGCTATCTGGAAATGTGACCTCCGATCTATCTATAATCAGGCCTTCGTGGAGGCTATGAAAGAGCCTTGCCTATGCAGTTCTGTCGCTTGGGCTGTATTTCTTCGGATTCTGGTTTGTTTGTCCGCCGATTCAGGCGCTGTATTAGGGTCTTCTAACACCATTCGCCGTGAAGTTCTGCCATCCAGGCGCAACCAATCTGCCAAACCAATAGAATTTGCAAGTTTTACCCACAATAATATTAATATTTTCAGGATATAAAAGCATTGCAGCCCTGTCCACCTCAGTAGTTCAGAGTTCCCTTTGCAAAGCTTGTATCACTTCGTATAAATCATGCGTTCATCCTTCCTCGTCGTCGTCACTGCTTTGGCAGCATGTATGTCTGTCACTGCATGCAGTCCCATATTCGTGGACTGCATAACGGCCAAAGATTGCTGCAGTGGCCTTAGCTGTAATTTGAAGTCGGTGAGTATGAGTTGTCTGCTTTGCATCCAGGATTCAACCCGTTGCTCATGCCTTGCACCTTGCAATGTTAATAGCGTACCAGCGGTACCAAATACTGCAGTTATTAGACTGCTTATCGATGGGATGGCAGCCTGTCCATGGGCATATCTGGACAGTGAGTCATGTTTCTGCTTTCGCATTGGTGCTGTGGCTGATTGTACAATACCTAGTTCGTTGCTGACTTGGTCAAATTTCAATGTGGTTGTTCCTGGAGTCTGGTCAAATTTCCCTGCTTCATGGGCAATGAAGGCACCTTTGAATTGATTTGAACACTCAATATTGACTAACTTGAAGCGACGTGAGGAGTAATTTCAATGTCCAGATTTGTGCCGCGTCGTTCAGAGCCAGAGTGTCCATTGCCGACGTCTGCATTACGTACATAGCGGATGTAGCAGAGTTTTTACCACTGCTAATGAGCGCGTCAAAAGACATTTTCAATGCCCATTCAATATCGTCTCTCGGATTCACCACCACCAACATCATCATTGGCGCAGTAGATGTGATTGTCGCCCCTTTTCATCACTCGATGCACTGGGTGAATCAAGTTCGTCATTATAGCTAGCCCCTTGAGGCAGTATCTTTGAGTACTGCCTCAAAGTCGTGAACACCCAAGAGTCTCATGTCGACTCGCCAAGTTGATTCCCGGTTCAATAGTAAGGCGAGAACCGTGGGTCCTCCGAGTGGATGGCCAATATTACCTCACACGAATTGAGCAGGTCATGGACAGCATGGTTGATGCCCAAGCAGATGCACTTTTAGAAAACAGGAGCCTCAGGAGGTGTATCATGGCATACTTAAATGCATATGTTGCTAATAGTTTGTCGTCCCTCTGCTCGCCTTTGGATGGGGGTTAGATAGACATTAAACGACTCGAATCTATTATGCATAACCATACATTTTATTCACGATACTGCCAAACATCGAGGTCCAAATCAAACCTGAGGTGTTGCACGACCGGGCCATCGTGGATACAGCGAACATTTCCTGGAAGGTGTCTTTCAATGCGATTTTCTTGATCAGTCCTAATCCATACATATCTCACAGTGAAACGGTTAGCCAGCCGCGCGCGCGCTTGTACGCCGCGAGTAGCTCTTCCATATCTGCTATCCTTATCGATTCGCCTATCACGTATTTAGTCACAGGTAGTACTAGCGTACGGCAGTTCAGAATCTCACGCACCAACGATTTCTCCCACACCAGGCATCAAAAGGTCACAGTTCTCTGTGTACGCAGGGTCATGCTCTCCCTCTTTCCTTGGCACCTTCTGCATGTAGAATATCTTCAGCTCCACAGGGAAGCCATATAAAAAGTTCGGCACCCAAAGAGCATCAGTCGAACGGCGTACCTGAGTGATTGATAGTAGGGGATGAGGTCCCCGACTTGAACATCCAGCAGTTGATCTGGATGATTTTGATTCCTTCTCTCTTTGGGATAGAAAAAGTTGAATTGATTTCTAGAGGACGGTTTAAACGAGTGCACTCCGTATCTTAAAGCACTCACAAAAGTAATGGTACAAATATACTAACTGTTTACACAGGATTTTGTACCTTTGTCTTTGCCTTTGTCTGGTATAGTCACCCCCATGACGACCTCGCAACCAATGAAGTCATGATTACAGCAAGGGCATCGCAGATGTGAAGATAGAACATGTTTACGACAGAGTAATCTTGAAAGAATTCGATCCACCCTCTTCCAATTAGAACACCATGCTTCACAAGATCAACTTGGCAGGCGATAGCGTTGTTGATACTTGAACAAAGCCAGTTCCGCCTCCACTATGTTCGCCCCCAACCCAACGAACAGTGCCTTGAACGTGTCCCCTGCTGCGGGATGCAGTGACATGACGTTCACGCCCTTTGCCTGTGGGATCCTCAACTCTATGTTGCTCAAGCGAGGGCCCGATGAATGAGGAGGATATAGAGAAAGAGCCCTCGAATGCGCTATGCAAGCCTACAGTCACTGGAGCATTCACGGTTCTCGCCTTACTGTTGAGCTGAGAATGAACTGGCGAGTTGGCATAGGTGAGTTTAAGCGGGGCGTTCGCGGTTTGTGCATCAACTCCGAATTCTCCGGCATATCCCGAGACAGTAGTCAAAGATACACGTGCATTAAGGGGCCTAATATAACGACGAAGCGTTTAATATATCGAGGAATGAAAAGGAGCATGAGTACACACGCATTTGCAGTTGTTATGACCAATTCAGATGGCTTTGCAGATTCGTTATGAAACAGGATAACATCTGCGTCGATGGCCATGTTGGTAGTAATGAGTTTGAGAGACGACATCGAATGAAAGTGTCCTTTGATAAGCCCGTTAGCAGTGGTAAAAACCCCTGTCTCGGCTGCTACAGACTATGAAGACTTCAGCTCTAAATACTTAAATCTCTAAGTGATGTAGCACGAACCTGGACGTTGATCGGGAAATGCAAAGTATTTAACGAAATACTACCGAAGAAAACGGTGTCCGACAAAGCCGCGACCTCGTGGCTGAAAAGAGGCGCAGAGGTCTCTAAACTCTTGATATAGAGGGCATCCTCGCTCGCGCTGGCGGGCAAGGTCAATGTGACATCAAACATGAGCTGATCTTTGTTATCTTGGCCAGGAAGAGGGCTCTTCGAGGTCTATTATGTGGCATTGCCCATGTAATATTAGTACGGCACAACCTACTGTTCAAGAAAAAAAACTTGCGTAGATACCGATTCCATTCTGATTTTCCTGGCGCTTGAGGCGGCAAACATTTGCACGTTCAAAGGCCTCTTCTTTAAAGTATGCAGCGCGGATGCGTACAATGACATCATCTGAGACATCCGTTGACTGCTCCACGGTGACAGTGCCGTACTGGAAAGCACCCCGAGAGATGAGATACAGGGAGTCAGAGCCGACAGGAAGGGTGAAAAGTGACTCGCTGCCAAAAGGGAACTGCTGCGCCCATGATGGTAATTCATAGTATTCGTCCCACTCCGCGCTACTGATGCACCCGACGACTGCCCCATCGCTGGGATCAGGGTAACCAGGTTCATTTAAGTCTGTTGAAAACTGTAGCACATAAGTTGACTTCTAGTCCTGACGGCCAAAGAAAATCCCAACCTCGTAGTAGTCGGAAACATTGCGCACGATGTTGAATCTAGGGTGGGTAAACACGACAAAGAGCAGCAAGCTCACAATGCCGATACCAAAAAGCCTAGCTGCCATAGACCGGCGCGGCCGCTCCACAAATTGCGATTCGCGAGTCTGGCTATTGAGAGTGGCAGTCTGTGCTGATCCGAAGTCACCATATTCAACTTGAAGTTGAAAAACCTCTTTGTTGTCACGGTCTCCGTTCATCCTCGTCAGACAGCGCTTTTAGTATGTTTAAAAGAACGAACGAGGCCAATGCACAGTACGATGTACATAACTGCAGATATACAGTAGATCTGCGCGCCACTATCGAAGAGTTCACGTGAAACATACTGCGGACGCAGCGTCCTGGTGATGCGGCCGCGCTCGGTGTCGGTAATAGCCCGTGACAGTAACTATAGTTGACATGAGAGCTCAGATTGACGCTCGCTGATCACTTTCTAAGAATCATCATGATCTATCTGTTGGTATTATCAACATCATTGTCACAATCAAGCTACCTTTGTTGGATTGCGGAAGATTGGTGCACGGCCGTCACGATCACCAGTCATGAGCTGTGCAAGAGTCGCCGGTCCCGAGCGCCAGCACGTGGACCCAGATTGGCTTACACTCTCTCACCAGTTCGAATTTGACCGGTTATCAGAACATTAATATTGACACTGACAGCTCTGAGGCGTTATCATACCTGCATCTCACCAAGCTACTATCTGGATATCTGTAAGAGGCCAATTGCTTCAAGTTGAATTCCGACTCGCAAGTACTGTCATGCAGTCACGTACAGTGGCACTGACAGTGGCTCCGCCACTGACTCATGGTGACGTAGGTCCCATCCTCCGAGTTGCAGCCTGATCAAACCATTCCAGGTGTCCTGAGTCCCGATTGCAAACTTAAGCTTCAGCTTCACCCTTGACAAAGGTGTGAAGTAGTGACTGTGGGCGGTCAGGTGAGCTCGGGTTCTCCCATGTCACGTTTCCTTCTTCTCACTTCCAAAACTAGGGTTTTCACCTTGCTCCGTGGCACGCGGTTTTGTACCTCTTTCTAGTAATTTTTTACCACACTTCTACGAGTATGCGCTTCACTCTCTCTTACGCTTTTGAAGACACCTAGTGACATGGAAGGCATCCAACGACATTCATGTTGTCGCCTCCCGCTTAAACCTGTCCAGCGCGTTCAGACGTTGGCCCATCTGCTTTTCTGATGACGTACTGTATGTTATATGTCTTATAAAGTACGTATGTTCCTTGAACCATTTTCTATTACGAATGCAAGCGGTGGCTTTCCCGGGTTTCAAATTGCCACCATCATCAGATGCATCGCTGACAGGCGATAACGTTCAGTCTGTTGAGCGCCTAAAAGGCCCAAAAATGACCCAGGCGCAGCATTGGCCATGCCAACCCCATTTTTCTCAGTGCCCAGTAGCCACAAACATCTCAGGCACAACGGGACTATTGTGTCTTCACTTGACGCGCCCGTCTATCTTATTTGCCGAGTCCTCGGACAACGTGCACTCTAGAATTGCCCAATAGCGGACCGTATTGTTGTTCCTGAGTGTGCAGTCAAAAAGGTACATGGTCCCTTGTTTACTACCCTCGTCAGGTCACGAGTACTAACACGGGGAGAGCCATCATATCGCTAGGCATCAGGGGTGTAACATTTCAAACAACGATGAAGGTTGCTCAAGACATGCCTCCTGTTACGCAAAAGGTTATTGGATCTGTGTCCGAAGAATCGAATCTCAAGTACCGTGCGCACAATCTCCTTGACTGTGATAGTACTCACTGCGGAGGTGGATAAGTGGATATAGACACCTCCGTCGCAGCAGATGCTTAAGTTACGGTTTGCGGCTTAAATTAACCATTGTGATGCTGTACCGACGCAACTACTTACAATATTGTAAGGTGTGCATCGCTCTCTTCCTATTATGGTCATGGAGCACTTGTTGCTAAAGAAATCGATACCTTGGAGTGCCTTTCGTGCTTCGCGGGGAGACTATCTTGGGCGCCTTGGTCTGAGTCTCTGACTCGCACGATACATGATTCCGCTGGTTCCTTGCCCAATTTGCCTCAGGAAACGCTCGCGGGAGGACATATTTGGAAGTTGTGACTCTGCGATAAGGGAAATACGGTGGAAAACCTAATACCAGTGAGCGTCTTAACATCGCAGTCGGAAGAGTCGGAAGTCTTTCAGCTTGCTAAGGCATAGTGCATTGCATTCCTCTTTTAGCATTGGAATTGTAGGGCTCTCCCAATCAAGCTGTGGCTTTGCGTTCATTTACGTCTTCGGTGAGCAGTTATTTGGTTTCCCGATGTGGTATACTTAGAAGCATCATGACTACTTATAGGCGGCTATGTATGTTCGTTCTCATATGCAAAGTCTCAGTCATAGCATGAGTATTGCGAAACATATGAAAGGATATGGCTGATCTCCCTCACTCCCTCAGGAATGATGATCTGCGCCAAGGAATGGAGCGAGAGCCACAAAGTGTCTATTTAAAAATATCCGGCGTCCCGTACCCTCACCGTAAACCGCTAAAAGAGGGAAGAGTGGTGTAAACAGACTAGTATACTTATCGCTCGCGCGAGTACGGACTGGTTTTGTGATCAGTCCATCAAGGGTGACGGAATTATGTTCAGTGGCGGACGCCTTTTACGGCGGTGTCTGCATCTAGGCTGGGGTCATCTCCGGGACTAGTGAGTAATAATGACCCAATCGTTTATAGACTGCGGTAGGCAAAGCCTGCAAACTGGCTCGGAACCAACGTAGTTAGGAGTCTAGGACGCCTATCATGAGCTTTGGAGGCACTCGGACGTAGACATGTAGCCGCTGGTCAGCATCAATCGTGACGTGCATCGACACGCTGAGTCTGCACGAGTTCTCCTATCAGGGCGTAAGCGAGGCGCGCTATGCCTTTCACAGATAAGTATAGTGATGGTGGCAATAGGCAAAGGCACGTATGACAAAGTGAAGGTCCTGACTGTTTACCTTAACAGATAACCCAAACTTTTCGATGCTAGTGCGTTTGGGCAAGTGCTTGATTGCTTGATAGAATCTACATGTACTTCGTTTGTAGCGATCGGCAACTTGGATCATTGCAACAAGCGGTTAATCGCCGAACAAGCGACGAGCACCGGTGCACGCGGATTGTAGATTTTAGTTGAACGAGGGCATGACATATGACTCGTTGCCTTTAAAGTGTAAAAAAGTATGACTGACAGCGGCGACTACATTAGCAGTATGCGTGGTGTTGGGGAACTTGTGAAGGTATAACACCCATGGAGGGTGCTAGGCACACGAGCACTGTCAAAATGAAACGTCACGGTTGCTGAAAATGACAACTGGGTTGCAGCGTGTGGATGCCCTGATGTGCCTCAGGGCTAGCGGGCAAGATTGAAATGAGGGACTTGATCGAAAGCTGGGTCGCCAGCATAAGGAGAGCATGAAACATACTGCAGATGAATCTATTAGACCATTTAATCGTCCTAATACTACAAAATTACGGGGCATAGAGGATTTGTATGTAGATGGGGCGGCCGGAAGGACGGCGGCTCAATAACCAAATTTAGGGTAAGAAGTCCAAAAGGGAAGTAGTTGGGGCTGAAAATAAAATTAAAATGTGAAAAACGCACAAAAATATTAACCAGGAACATGGGAAGGTTGATGTGCCTGAGAAATGTGATTGGTTTAGTGGTGATCCTCTAGTAGCGGACCACTTTCAGTCCTCCCACAAGTCCTTTCCCTCCAAGTACCTTCCCTTGTCTTCAGATACCCTCCCCTCTCCTTCCCGTAGTCCTTACTCATCGTCGTCCACGACGCCGAGCAACTTTTTGACGACATTCATAAGATACCCCAATTGGCGTTCAAAGGTCCTATTTACCGGACCTCTTTGACTGATGTCCGGTAGACCAACATCTTCAGCTGGAGGCTCTCGCCCCTTCACAGCCTCAGCTTTTCGTACATCTTCAGCCCGTCCCCCAACTTCTGCAGGCGCATTTGACCGTGACCACCAATATACCTATGATAATGCTTATATTGAGGAAGAAGAGGAAGAGGAAAGCGACACAGAGGACCTTTTTGCCTTTCTCCCTCCTTCAACCGCAGACCAACAGCGAGATGCAGAGAAGCAGCGTGCGGCTGATTTATCCCGAATATCACCAGACTACACAAATGTTTTCGCGAATGCAGTCCCATCAGACGGCCCCCCGCTTGTATATCCGGCGCCGGCCTTTCACCCCTGGGCTCGTTTCTCCTCTGAGGTGGCCGGGCCCTCCCGTCTCTTTCCTGTACCCATATCTCAGATTCCAGTGGAAAGTCCTCCTTCTACCGCGTCAAACCAAGGCGCAAGTGACCCGTATCGCATGCGTCGACTAAGCACAGCCCTATCGAGTACAACCAACACCCACCCTTCGAGACCTAGTATCCCGAACTCTCGGCAAATACGCGTCAGTCTAAACTCCAGCCCACCCGAGAAGAACGACGAGGAGGACTTTCGTAACAGTTCACAGAGAACACGACATCCTTCATCAACACTTGGCGATTCAACAACTCTAAGCATAACACCTAGTATGCTGGAACAAGACAGTCGCGATGGTTCAATAAAGTGAGTTCTTCGTTCTTGTACCGTAATTTTCTCAACATTCTGCATTTCGGCGTGACACAGGATGGAAGTTTGATTTTGACGCCGTGAATGAAGAAGACAGTCCATTTCCTGAAGTTCGTGCATCTGTCTCAAACATTGATGACCCAGAAATGCCCGCTATGACGTTGCGGATGTGGTTACTCGGTCTGGTTCTTTGTATGACCGCTAGGTGAGTTTTTTTAGAACATCGTTCTTGCTTGTAGTCTCATGCTTTCCAGTGCAATGAACGTTTTCTTTAACTTCCGGCAACCTGCCCCGAGTGTCTCTCCCCTTGCCCTTTTGCTCGTTTGCTATCCGATTGGAAAATTCCTCGCTTTTGTCCTTCCCATCACGACTTATCGTCTCCCGCGGTATCTTGGCAGTTATGAGTTTTCGCTCAATCCTGGACCATGGAACATCAAAGAGCATGTTTTGGTATACATAATGGCAAATGTCGCTATTGGTGCACCTTACGCTATCAACGCCATTGTGGTCATTCAGCTTAACTACGGCGTTCAAGTGGATTATTGGTTCAGTGTACTCCTGGTTGTTGCCACGCAACTCACAGGGTTCGGTCTTGCAGGGATATGCAGGCGCTTTTTGGTTTGGCCTGCGAGCATGGTTTGGCCACAGAACTTGGTGACGTGTACTTTATTGAACACGCTTCACGCGGAGGACGACGAAGAACCAGGTTCGATTACACGATACAGATACTTTCTTCTTGTCTTTGGTGGCGCATTCTTCTTCTACTTTATCCCTGGTAAGACTCTTTTCAAGCTCAATTTGGGTTGACTTTGATGAGTTTCTAGGCTACCTCTTCAGTGCTCTCTCGGTGTTTTCTTGGATGTGTTGGATACTACCGGATAACATTCCAGTTAATCAACTATTTGGCGTCGAGTCGGGCTTGGGCATGACCATAGTGACATTCGACTGGTCACAAATCTCGTGGATTGGTAGTCCCTTGATGTTTCCATGGTGGGCTGAAGTGCACATCTTCTTTGGCTTCGTTCTTTTCTTCTGGATCGTCACACCAATATTATACTATACCAACGTAAGTCCCTCCAGCCCTCAGCCCCTCCTTCTATCCTTCGTTTCTGACTTTGTCACAGACGTGGGATCTCGCCTACTTCCCATTGAACGACAGTAATCCATATGATCGCTACGGTAACGTGTACAATGTGTCGGCTGTGTTGGATGCCTCCAACCGCTTCAATCTCACTGCCTACGAGAACTACTCTCCGCTTTATCTTCCCGCGACTTATGCGATAACCTACATGCTTGCATTCGCCCTATCGACATGCGTACTCGTGCACACGGTCCTTTACCACGGCCGAAGTTTGCTGAATGGGATGAAGAAGATTCGCGTAGAGCAGGATGACATTCACGCGAAGCTCATGCGCAACTACCCTGAGGTGCCAGATTGGTGGTATCTCGTGTGCTTCTTCGGCTTTTTCCTCCTCATGGTGGTGGTCGTTGAGGTAAGCCCACTCCCTTTTTACATCATGAATTTTGTTCAACATCGGCTGTTTGCAGGTGTGGCATACGTCAGTACCTGTGTGGGCCCTGGTGTTGTCCGTGGCATTACCAACTCTATATGTCTTGCCGTCCGGGTTCATTTACGCAATGACTGGGCAAGGGGTATGCATGCTTCCGCGCTGCATTCGAGAATAGGAATGCTGACGTCCGATCTGTACAGATCACGCTGAATCTGCTTGCACAGATCATCCCAGGGACCTTAATGGCGGGCGACCCTGTTGCGAACATGGTACGCGGTCAAACTGTAGCACTTTGCGAGGAGTCTGACGTAGTCATCCAAATTTGTCGCAGATCTTCAAGGCATACTCCGTTCAGACATTGTCGGAAGCTACTTCATTCGTGCAGGATCTCAAGCTTGGTCATTACATAAAGGTTCCTCCACGAGCCACGTTCCTTGGTAAGCAGTGCTCTTTTGATCGTCACTCGATCGCCTGACCAAGGGTGTTCCCTGCAGTGCAATTCGTGGGCACCCTGTTGGCATCATTCATCCAGATCGGTGTCAAGCAGTGGATGTTCGACAACATTCCGGACATCTGCACCCCACAACAACCCAGTTTATTGACGTGTCCACACAATCAAGTGTACTACACTGCATCGGCAGTCTGGTACGTCTGTCTTTCATTTCAGTTGCTGTGTCTTTTATCAACGACGCATGTTTGTAGGGGAATTATCGGACCCACGCGGCAGTTCGGAAAGGGGACGCTCTACTACCCGGAGTTGTATGCCATCATTGTCGGCGCCTTCCTACCCGTTCCTTTCTGGCTGTGGCAACGGCGGTACCCGAACTCATGGGTCAGGTTTGTGAGCACGCCTGTGGTGCTCAACGGCGTCTCGTATATACCGCCCGCGGCCGGCATCAACTATTCTGCCTGGTTCGCAGTCGGGTTTGTATTTCAATATCTAATAAGAAAATGGAACTTTGCATGGTGGAGCAAATTCAACTATGTGACTAGTGCAGCTTTGGACAGCGGTATGTGGCTGCCCTGCCTCGCTTTGATTTTTGCTAACGGCGGGGTATAGGCACTGCTTTGTCGTTAATTATAATATTTTTCACGTTAGATGTACGTTTCCCTTCTGATCATCGTGGCTAACCTTATTAAACATTGCCTACAGTTCCCAAAAGGTGGCCTCTATATCAACTGGTGGGGAAACACCGTCTACACGAAGAGTGCGTTTTTTGTTAGTCTGATCGATCGGTTTGTTCTGAGATGGATTTTTCTTTTCTTTTCAGCCGCGGATTGGAACCGTCTGTCACTGAAAGTCATCCCATCCGGTGGCATCCCTTTAGATTAATGTATTTAGCAATCTGCAAACAATATGACTTCATCTAGGACCCAATGCAACAGCGGATGTGATTGGTGCTTTACGTCGATCTCAATCCTAATGAAACAGGCGATGTAGCAGGTGTTACCGAGGCGAATGGCGGACTTTGATATATTGGTTCATGAAAACAGGCACTGGATTAGATCTAGACCCGCCATACCATGATGGAAGAGAAGCACAGTGCGTGCCAACGATAAACGCTTAGGGAATTCGTGCACGCGCCGAGAAGCACATTTCCAGAGGAACCCACTTTTGGTAAGATAGAGAGCCAAGGAAACACCCAAAATGTGAGCTGTGCAAGTATGCGGGGCCGAAGAAAGATGCACTATCTGGCTATGCACGTTCTTATTAAGTAGTGGTTAGACAACACACTGTGATCATTCCGGCACTGAGTATGTACTGGATAATGACGTATGGCAGTGGAGACGCATGGGTCACGTATGACATACCCTGAAAGTGAATTGCACAGGATGATGATCGCGGCAGGAATCTAACCTCCCCGTCCACGCCCTCGTCCACGTTGTCCGCTACCTCTTGGACCTCCACGGCCTGATCACAATCAATTAGGACCGATATGGTATGATGGAACAAAATGGACAAACCTCCTCTTGATGAAGCACCTCGGCCTGTGTGGAAATTACAGGCATCATATCGATATCCCATGAAAACGGCGTGTGGTGCAAAGATAATGGACACAAGCGAACGAACGGATCATGATCAGTGTGCCGAACCTGAAACAGCAGGACGATTAGCTCAGACGCACCTCCTCGCATACCTGCGCCTGCTCCTCCCCGCGCATTTCGGCCAGCTTCTCGTGCTCGGGTTTGCTCCTCTTTTACAGCATCTAACAATGTATCCGGTACACGCAAGTATTTTATCTGAAGGGTTGTTCAGCTGCAGTGAAGTCATCAAGAGAGATGGTTGAACGCACGGTGCTGCCGCGAATATAACACTCCTTCAACTTCCAGAATCTATCGCCGTCTGCGCTCGTTTGGTACACCTCCCGTAGTGTTATGTTCATGAAATTATCGCAATTGACGAGATGGCCGTTGAATGTTTCGCCATTTTTCAACTCTACGAGCTATGATCGTTGAATCAGATAGAAAACAGAACGGATAGTGAGCCTTGTTTCGGTTGGATGGATGCAAAAGGCCATACCATAGGTTTGTTTTGGGCTGCTGTCAGCAGTGATAGAGGCAACTACACATCGAGAAAAGCTGTCAGTAGGTGTACACATATTGGAAAGGTATATACCATCTTGTTATATGGCAAGAGTTTTATCACTTCTTAGGTCGTGCTCGATAGTCGCGTCGAAAGACGTTGCAGTAGGAGACACTAAATACCATCTGTGGCTGTGCTGCACACTCCATCCAGACTTCGAACATATAGACATAGTACTTGTCACGATGGAACATGAGGATACTAATACAAGTACATAAACAAGTTGATATGCCCTAAGCTCAGATCACCAAGTCTACACGACCATTCGAAGTTTTGACCGTAGCATGCCCTTCGATCTCTTTGCTCTCGCCCCAGTAGGCAGACCCTCGGAGGCGATATCGCTCTCGTCTCTGAGTCACCTCCCTGCGACGTCCCTGCCCAGAAGGATCCTCAACAGGTAGCTCCTTGAGTACGGCTGCTGCATTAGAAGTCTCTACATCAAACGAGCCTTCGAAAGTGCTGTACAACTTGACGCTCATTGCCGCGTTAGAAGAGCGGGCTTCCGACCTGAGAATTGAATTGACAGGCATGTCGGTGTATGCAAGGGTGACGGGCCCATTTGAAGTACGCGTTTCGACGTCAAAGATACCACCCTGGCCAGAGTGTGTGACAAGATCAACATTGGCATCAATTTTACTGAAACAGGAGGTTAGATGATGGAACCGAAATAGGACGCAAGTCATATACCCGTTACTTGTTGTCATCTTGAGCTCACTGACAGCTCCATTCTCTTGGTTGAGGAGCGAAACAGACGCTTGAATGGGGCCATTTGAAGTTGCGAGCTTGAGAGAAGAGCCACTATTAAAATGCCCTTTGATGCCGCCATTGCTAGAGCGGATCGAACCATCCTCAGCGGTGACAGACTGATCGGCAAATATTTAGCATTTCAATAATCCAGGAAACTAAATCAACCAACCTTTGCATTTACATGGGCATTCGATGTTCTGAGTGACATTCTATCGAAGGAAATAGTGTTCCAGACATCTGCGACATCTTGACTGAAATTGGATGTCTCCGTCTCGAATGCTTTGATGTGCAGAGCTTCTCCATTTTTCCCTGCAGGTAGCGTGATCTTCACTTCGAATCTTAGTTGTTGTCTATTGCCAGGGAAGTGCGAGAATGCGGACGTCTACAGAAATTCATTGAGATGAAGGTTCAGCGAATGAGGATTGAAGTATTTACAAAGATACCGACACCATTCTCATTTGTCTTTCGTTCGAGACGACAGACATTGGCGTGGTCCAGCGCTTCGCGAGCAAAATAGCCAACTCGCACTTGGATACCAACTTTATCTGTCGGCTGGGTGGACTGCACGATATCAACATGACCGGATTGCTGAGAGCCCCTCGTGAACAGGTAGAGTGCATCAGAGTCAACGGGGAGCTCTAGGAATGCTTCGGCACTATAGGGAAATTGGTTCAAGCTTTGGTTGGACAGTGTCCAATCGGAGCCACTGATGCATTGGTGGACGGTGCCATCTTGTGAGCCGGGATGAGGTGGCTCACCGTTCCAGAACTTATCAAATACGTGAGCCAAAGGCGTACCATTGAGCGAGAGAAAAATGACATACGGGTCGAAATCCATGATTGAAGGCCATATCGGTGGAAGATGTGGTGAACGCAGCAATGAGGAACCAAATAAGTAAAGCAACACCGAATGCTTTCCAGAAACGTTGTGCGGGTGACTGACGATATACGACTACCACCACGTCCGTTATGGGTTGATAAGGTGTCTGGGAAGTATACGGTGGGGGTGGCGATGGCCCTAGGGTATTACTTGAGCCCTCGTGGAGTCCTGCCCTTTGACCGTTGCCTTTATTGTCCGTGCGTTTTGGGCTCGTTTCAACAATTATCATGCCGGCGTTTGTTCCAGAATCCGCACACCCGTTACTAGTACTAGTAGTATCCTTGTGTGCGTCGATGTGCTGCAATTGGAGCTAGTAGACAATTGTAAACGTCCCCTTATAATAAGACAGCTGCGAGCTGCTGTGTCATACTGCGCAGTCCAACTGCGGTGCCACCTGCGCGTGACCTGTCAATCAATGATTGAGCTCTGAGATCAATATATAACTTTTCGCTGCGCTAATTACTTGCAAGCGGCTACTATGCAAATAACCTGCTCCGGAACATCGACGTCAAGGATTGGGATAGAACTTGGGATAATAAATTCCCACCCGATCCTCGTCTATAACGACTTGAATCTCCGGCAGCCACATAATATAAATAATTTGTGTGTCCCATAGGACCCATACACTTATCATTTTCAATTAAGGTAAAGTATTAGTAAGTACTAAGCAGGGATACGCTCACCAGTACGGGTCATTACATAGTCTATCATTAGAGCTGTGCGGCTTTTACACCCTACACCAATCACCCCCGCTTTC